CTGCTGCGCTCTGCATGGGGCAGCTCAGGGTTAGGGTTAAATGCCCAGGTCAGAAAGAAATCCTAACGAGGGCTTCTTATTCCCCTGGAATTGCTAAGGGGCTGGGGAAATGACAGGTGCTCACCTGTTGAGTGTGAGCGTGCCTGTCTTGTCGCTGGCAAGCACCTCCATTCCTGAGAGCTCCTCCAGGGAGGCCAGCCTGCAGACACATGACAAATCAAAGCCACTGCCTTACTGATGGTCTCTACCTTTGCCATGTCAATCTACAGGTATCAGCTACGGCCTCCAGCTTGTCACATGCTACACATCCGGAAGGATTTGTCCTCAAACTAGACAACTTTACGCAATGAGAAGAATTGGCACCATGCTTCCAGTCAGCTTGGAAGACTTCACTGCTTTGCCCGGCCTGCTCCAAGGTGCGCTGAATGCTATGGCATAAAAATTGAGGCAAGGCAAAAAGCAGTCGGTGGCAAGTTTCCTTCAGCAGCCCTGGTGTGGAACTGCAGCGCGTCCGCACATGTAACTTGCATGTTCACCAATACATAGTGCAAGGCATAAAGTGTCTGCATCCCGCCTTTCACTTGCGTGTGCCAAAAGAGCCTGCCCAACCTGGACATCAAGCTGATGCCCTAGGGTCATTCGGTCTCTACTCAGTTTTCAAAACCAAAGGGTGAAAGGAAGAGCGGCTGCAGCCGCACCTGTTCACGATGGCCTTGTGGCGTGCCATCTCACGAGCGCCGATCGCCAGAACCGTAGTAGTCACAACGGGCATGCCGACAGGCATGGCTGACACGAGGATGACAAATGCGATGACTACCGAGTAGCCGGCCGCATCACCGCGGCCCAGAAGTGTCGCCATTATGCAGATGACTCCCGCCAACGCCAGTGCCCCGATCGCCAGAGTCACTCGGCTCAGCACCTGCGAGTAATTGGGTGTGTCAGCACTGCTGACTTAGCAGACAGTGCAGGATATGCTGTGACTCACTGAACAGAGAGCCAGAGTAGCATTGCGCAGTAATCACCTGGAGGACTTGCATTAAAAGCGGATAGATCTGGCTCACGCCGACCCTCAAGCACCAAATGACAGGTTACAGAGTGGGCACAGGCACACAGAGGGCTCGCTCTTGAACAGCAAACAGAAACTGCTAAAGATCAGCAGAGCTAGGTCCTGATCACAGGGGAGGTGATAAAATTTGCACACTTTGCGCAAGTGCCAAATCTCCTCTTGGCGCCGCCGTGAGAGAATTCTGAGGCCCAATTAAAAAGCTTGGAACCCAGAACATTTGGGCAATTTATACTGAAAGTACCAACGAGGCCTCACCTTACGCAGGTGTCCGATTTCCTCCGGCTCACTCAGCAGAGCGACTGTCTTGCCAAAGAAGGAGGCACGCCCCGTGGCAGATACCACAGCTGCGCTCTCGCCCTGCAATATGACAGAGCCAGACAGCACCTGCCCCACAAATTTGAAAGCGTCAGTGACAGCTCTGCCTGTGTGATTTTCGAAAAGGTCAAGAGACAGATTTAGCTTTGTGACACGTGCAATATGTCACAGGGACAGATCATGCATGCATGCAGATTTTCAGTGGGAAATCATGAGGTGATCCCCCTGCGAGCGTAAGTGCAGCGCTTCTCAGCAGCAGCAGAAAGAAGAGAAGAAGCTTCGGCTCTGGAACTTTCACAGGAGGTAAAGGACAGTCAGCCCGCATGTGCACAGGCTCTTTTAGGCAATTGCAGGATGCTGGCATGCTGACCCCTTTCAGACTGCATCACTTCTGCAATTCTACGAAAGATGTTCTGCATTCAGTCGAAAGTGTCAAGGGGCTTGTCAATGGTACAGTACCTTGGCGCCCTGGGTCTTGGAGACGGGCAGTGACTCGCCAGTCAGGGATGACTCGTCCACCTTCAGAGGCTCGCCTTCACCCACAAGCTGCACACACATGCATCTGTTCATTCATTCATTCACATTGACGTTTGAATGACTAGAGGGCAGTGCAAATTCTGAGCACCATCACCAGCATGATGCCCATGGTTGATTGGTCCTGGCGAGTCCGTTCAGGGGTGAGATTTGTAACGGCCTTTGCATGTCGCTTGCCTGTACACGCACTTTGCCCCTGGCAGGAACAGCAGGAATAAAGCAGATGATGACGAAATGGAAAGACACGAGTCATGTGACAGGGACACGTGGGTGCAGAAAGCGCACCACAGCATCGGCTGGGACGACGTCTCCGCCCTTTAGATCGATGAGGTCGCCAGGCACCAGCTCGCGGACCTCCACTTGCTTCCACTCTCCGTCCCGGTTGACCGATGCCGTGGGGGCCGACAGTTCCTGCACATCGCCATACAAACTTGTTGATGCCTCAAAAAGAGTTGTCCATCCACACCCGATCGAATTCGGCCTTGCATAAAAAAGATGAGCATACCAACTGTGATTGTCGGGTGATGATTTGCGCACCTTGAGCTCTTTCACCGCATTGCCGGCGTTCCGATCAGAGTAGTAGCCCACCCAAACAATGATGTTTAGCTCCACAATCAGCAGAACAAAGGACGTCCAGCCCCTGCTGCCATCGTTTGGGACAGCTGCACTGATGATCGCAGCCAGAAACTGCAAGTCAAGAAATGCGTCAGCGACATGGCGTGTGCAATGGCTTCCGGCAAATTCACGTCCACAAGATTCGTGCACCCGCTAAGAAGACGATGGGCAAAACAAACATTGCCATGAGGTATAGTTTTCGTGTAGCGTGCGTTCAGGCCATGTAACACAGGAATAAGGTGTGTTAGTCATGGCATTGTCCCAGACAGCACTCGCCATGTGCAAGGCAGTGTGTTCACTTGTGCATTCAAGACATGAGAGGGATCGCACGATGACAAGTGTGATGGGGTCGAGGTATCGCTTGACCACTTTCTTCCATTCCGGCTCGGCATTGCCTTCGATCTCGTTGAAGCCGTGAACTTGCTGCAGCTCGCGTGCCTTGATTGATGTTAGCCCTTCACAATGCATTGCTTATTGATTTCTTATCTTTGTGCAAGCTTCTTAGTCGAAATGGGCGCGAGCGCTACGATTCAGATCTGTGAGATTATTTTTGGTCCAAAAGATGCGCGCTGCCCAGGTGCGTCCAAAGGCGACCTTCCGAAACGCCTTCCCCACAGCTTCCATGCTATGACAAATTGTTTCTGAGTCAGACCCACCAATCATGCAGCCATTTTCCATAACATGATCAAGCGTCAATCAATTTCCAGACAGCACATTTAATCAGCCTTTTCGACTTGACCTCAATAATCAACATGCAACGTGCATCGTATGATATATCACCATAACACTAACAATAATAATCTGTATGAGTGGCGAACCCAGAGCCCAGAGGGCCATACTATGGTCCTAGTAGGACCATAGCACTGGCAATCACCTAGCTGATCTGCAAAGCTGCCAATGGGCTGCGCTGAGACAATCCTTCTGATGATCCCACCATGTCAAATAGTTCAGCAATGACCGGCAACAAGAATGCAATTCCTGACTGGAGCGTCAGTGGGGCTTCCGCCTTGGGAAGCCACGTGCAAAACTGTACGTATTGATAAGCCGTCTTTGCCGCAGGGCATTGTTTCACATCCTGAAACGAGGGTGGAGAGTGCCCTGCATGCAACAAAACTGACAAGTTAAGGATTGGATAGGCAAGATTGTGATGGAAAGAAAGAGCATTCAAGTATTCTGTCTCTGCCATGACCACAAAGCAGTCTGAAGACAGGCTGAGATCTCTAGACAAGTGGCCAGATGCACTGCTGAAGCCATGTTGAAGATGGACTCATTGTTCACCGTTGCCTCACCGGGCCGCACATTCACAGTTCTGCAGAACTCACACGCTCATCCAAACCTACTCTGCAAGCACACCCCCAACATCTTCAGGAATTTTTCCAAGTGTGCTTGCTTCTCGATCCAGTGGACTGCCGGAGGCAATCGGCCACAGCTGCCACACTGTGTACAGAGCAGATGGTGTTGACACGTTGGACGCGATAGCTATGACTGGCCATGGTGTCGACACAGCTGCTACAATATAATGATAAAATGCAAGACGTGCGGCACTCAATGATTGTCTGAACCAAGTGCGCTGTCCCGTCTTGGGACTCCCGAAGCAAGCATGCACATGAATCACCATTTTATTAAAGAAGCATCGGCTTGCAAGTTTCCCGTCACAGATTTTTAAAGGTTTTGGATGGCAGAAGTGATACCACTGTGACAGCCGCGCAAGTGCTTCAATCATGATCATGTCACAAAAAAAAAAGAAGTTCGACGCCCTGATGTCACCTGAGGCGTGATTAAGGAAACACGCTCGCCCATTTAGGGGCTGTATTTTGTGTCGATTGGCTAGATCGCGAGCGGCTACCGTCCCAGGGCCGTAAACGTAACCTAGGTGGCTTTGCCATGCTGGATAGCCCCGCCGTGGGCTCCAGCTTAGACGTTGCCGGTTCTTTTCCGTTGCCGGAACAGTCAATCATGTCAAGTATTCACCATCATGCTGCAACAAGGATATCAGGCCCGACAATCTTGGGCAAAGGCTGCTGCATGATGCTCGCCCAGTCAGCATATTGTGGGTGCGCATGCGCTTGCAATCGTGACTCATCCGCTAACTCAGCCGCTTGGAGCAGCGGCAGCTGCCTGGCAGCCGTCTTGACACCTGTTCCTTTTTCTCCTGTAGGTCCGTAGAAGTCCGCGCTTGCTTGGAAAGCCACTGCACATCACCACACACATGCTGGTTTAAGAGAACATCATTAGTGCATGTGCACGTGTAGGCAAAACAGCTCAGTGTTTTGCCAGCAATAGATGCGCAGCATATCTATATAGTATGTGGCTTTGGTGTCTTCAGATAGAAGGGTGTAAAATGATTTGCATTGCAGCAGCCCTGTGCCGGATTGAGCACGTTCCAGTAATATTGCAACCTCTGTCAAACTGCATTGGACACGCTGCATGTGCGCGTGGTGTGCTCACCTGTGGGGTCTGATGGTGCCGCTTCCACTTCCAGCATGATAACTTCATTCACTCCTGCCCGCAGCACAGGGCCTGGCACGTACCTGCACCCACAGATTTACTGCTTTATCCCCCTGACATCAACTTCCGGCAAAGCATTTCACTTCCTGTCACACACCTTATCAATGAATATTGAAGTTAGAAGATTCGGCAGAAGAAACTGCTGCATCCTGGCGAGTGCGTGCAACAAGCATGGGCAAATTCATTATGTCAACATGGCAAAAGAAAGGAGGGTTTCCTTGCAGTGAAAATCAAAGAATGAGGACATAAGATGGCAGGCGGATGCGCACATGGTGTTGGCGGGCCCCTTTGACGGCCAGTACCAGCCCAGGTTGAAGCCATTCACAAAGGCCAGTCCCTTGCCCCAGTCGCCCACAAACAGATAGCTGTCTGGCAACAGCCCCTCTTCATCCCTGGCAGTCTCGTCCTCATCTATATCCAGATAGCCCCTGCAGGTTACAAGGTGTACGTGTGCTGATTTTGATTTTACAGAGTTTGCAGTTCAAAAGGTCTCTGAAGTCAGAGATGCACTGAGTGCTCTCATGGTACAAGCCATGTTACTGGTGCTTGACATCATGGCAATTTCTCTATTTAAAGAACTTTCTGCTGCTATTGAAACAACAAACTTGCTGAGAGGAGCATCTGATATTCATGCAGGCTTGCTCTAAAATTAGAATGTCATGTGTAACCAACTTTCTGACGACGCTTGCATTGTCAACACAACATCGCGTGTTTCATTGGTATGGGCCCCGGCAGCCTTTTTCTTGACTGACCAGCGGATCAGGTCAACTACCATTGCAAATATTTGATCGTTATTAAATGTATAATTGTATTATGTTGTATTACTGCAATTATTATTGACCTGATATTGACCTGATATTGACCCACTGCTATTATTTTAAGCTATTGTATTGTTGCAGCAAACCTGCTGCTTATCAAAACTGGAAGGGATCTGGCACCTGAAGAAGGCAGGTCCTCCATCTGCTGGTGCTAAAGAGTGCGCGGTAGCGCTGTCATTATCATGGAAGACCAATCTGCCCAGGTTGTCCAGAGGGAGAGGGAACACCCTCCACCCCTCCAGCACCTTGCCTGCAGCAGAATCTGAAATACTCTAAAAGTGCTGCTACACACTGTATTGCCTGGGGTCTGCATTTTAAGCTGACCTGTCGCAAAAGAAAAGACCGCTTAATATGTGCATAATACGTTGGCATCCCAAAAGAGGATCCTGCTCGAACTGACCAAAGTAATCTGGGCTCTGGTATGAGCTCTGGTCTGCCCAGAGTGTTTTGTTGTTACAGAAAGCAAATGACCAGGGAGGGGCGAATCTCACAAGAGTCAGCCACAGGCACAAGAAATTGCTGCCTGAGCCATTCTGGTGTGGGTTCATAGGGGGCTAGGTAACAGTTTTATGTCACCCTCATTCAACGCTCCAGCCAGTTCTTCAGCACTCATAATTGTTGCACATTGAACTGACAGAAGGCCATGCCCGACCATCTTGTGCAAAAGGATTGTCCGCATATAAGCATGCAGATAATTTCTGGCCAGGCAGAAGAAAGAAATCTAAACAAATAGTTCTCGCACCGTTCCACTGTACATCTGAGGACGACAGCCCCTTGGTGTCGAAGCGCCACCCCTGGTTGGAGCGCCCCACAGCTTCCACAATGACTTCCAGCGTCACGGAAGCTTCCGCGGAAGCCACCGCATAGCTTCCGGCAGCTTCCTCCACTGAGCGCCACCTCAGCGCTGAGTCGGCGTCCAGCGTCAGATTAACGGGGCCGTTGCGGCTCAGCCGGCCGACTGCTGTCCCATCGAGCAACACCTAAAAGCCGTACAAAAGCTTTTGAGTGCATGCATTGTGAAAGTTGTTGTCAGTATTATCATTCAATAGAAGCCAGATGCAAGGTGCGTCAACGTCAGACTTCTGCAGACAAAGTTGCAGGTAAAGGTGCCACATATATCCCCCTTTCTGGACTCGCCAGATCCAAGCAAGACCCAATCAACCATGGGCATGGTGCCCAGTATTCATATCGTCCCCCGCCAGTCGGGGCAAAGATTATAAGTAGTGAATGGGTATTATCTTGCAAACAAACACCTCTGCTTGTAAGGTCACCTGCCCTGCTGCAAGTCTTTAGCGGGCAGAGTGCAGCAGTCTGAGCGAGCAAAGAATAAGCAGACCTATGTCTTAAGTCTTAGTTAAGATAAGTCTAGATAAGCCTTCCCTGCGATGGTTCTGCGCTGATGTGATTGCTGCTGCAATTGCTGCTGCTGCAGACATAAAGCAAAGCAAAGCAAGCCTAAACAGGATCAGCGATACAATGAGAGAACTCACCGTGGCTGCATCATGCACCGGATGCCCCATGTCCAGCAGCGAGTTGGCCTTCATCTCGGCTGCAGGAATCTCTGTCTGGTACATTATCAGGCCACCCCTGCCCCACACAGACACTCTGCATCAGCAAATTGCTCTCCATATCATTCAAGCAATTTTGCCATAGATAATACTTAAAAAAAGCCTGACTGATCCAGCTTGACTAGGCCCTTGCGTGGAGGTGGTCCGCTTGTCTGTCTCTGAATATCTTCCAGTGAATTTTCCCCGAGGTAATCTGCTTTGCTCACCGCACCCTAATCAGAACCACCCCTCACAGACAAGCCCTACATGGGTGTTAATAAACTTTTTCAGGGGCAGACGCACGATTGGCCGTACTTTTCGATCATGCGGGATACAGGCGCCTGATCGCAGATTCAACCATCTAAAACATTTGGGGGATATAACATAATAACCAGGGAGACGCACGATTGGCCGTATTCCTCCATGATGAGTGGGCGGCGGGAGGTCACGCCGTCGCCCGGGTACAGTCGCCTGATCTGGCTCCGCAGTGTCACATTCTCATACAGTCCAACTTCTCCATAGGCTTTTATGCGTGGCGGTGGCGGCGGCTTTGGCGGCTCCGCACCGGTGTGCTGTGTTATTGCCTCACGGATGAGCTGCGCAGCAGAAGCTTCCCACTTTAGATCCAAGAAACCAATTGTGGCTTAAAATGCATGCCAAAAATAATGCTGTCCAGAGACAGAAATGCACAGGCAAAAATGTGGAGGAAACGCTATTTTTGTTCAATATTTTGCCTCGGTTGAAAGTGCAGTTGAGTCACTTGACAGGAGCTTATTGGTGGCCGATGCGGGCCTGCAAGGGCTTTTGCTGCTTTGGCTGTAGGAAGTTTCCTTCCTAGCGAAAGGGAATGAGCCTCAAATTTTCAAGACTCGTTATTAGCGATACACCGCATGGCCGCTGGCTTTGGTTTTGCCAACATGTCGTGAATGATAACAGTGGCAGTACACCCGCGCATAAGGCAGTCAGTTCAAAGCAGAAAGCGCTCACGTCAAATTTGTTGGGTCCCCCGATGCCGGGCTGGCCGGTGTCGCCTGCCTCGCTGATTGGCGCATCGTAGTCATATGACGTAATGCATGCCCAATAGACGCCATTGTCGATGCTACCGCCTGATGCATGCGTGCCCACCTTTCATTTAAATATTAAAATTCCATTAGAAAAACTGCTCCCTCGGCTAGGTATTTCCAGTAGCTCATCCCTAGATATGATCCAAGATCTATGTCCCCATATCCTCGAGGACAAGCTTCTTCAGAGCATCGGCACGAGCAGAGGCTACAGCATGCGTTGTACAGGCATGATCAACATCCTGCATGCACAGTACTTGCAGCAGCCAGTGCAGCAAATTGCAATTTCCTTCTCATCTCAAGACTGAACCTTTACCAATTCAGGAGTGTTCGCTTGCCGATCTACAAAATTCAAAACTCTTGATCAAAAAAGGTAATGGCAGCGCACCTGCAGTGAAGCCAAAGTTGGTGCCGCCATGGACCATGTATAGATTCACAGAGCCGGTGTTGTTTGCGAAACCCAGCACTCCATGCAGCGTGTCCAGAAACTGGTCCACGGATGTGTTTGCCATTTTCTCGCCCCACCGCGTCAGCCAACCCGTGCTGCGCAGTGAACAGAAAGGATCAAATTCGAACTTCGATTTGAATTTTCATATTACTAATGTGAAATCTGTACCTTTTAAATTCCTGGAAGTCCACTGCAGTCACTGGGCAGACAAATGAAGAGGACGCAGCTGAGCAGAGCAAGAGGTGGTCCCATCTCTGTGATTTTATTAGAGCAGCTAAATGGAAAAAAAGAGGCACTAAGAGCAATGACAAGGTTTGGAAGGCAGTATCAGCGAGTTCAAAGGAGTCAGGTGCGCACTAGAACTCGCTGCACATGGGCGGTGACTTCCCAGGGGCATTCATGGCTCGTTGCTGTGAGAAAGCCCAGTTCAGATCGAACCAGCCGGCGCCAAAATCCACCACACTACAACATACACAAGTTGGTAAGCATCACACAGACACTTTCTGCATGCACGCATCTGAAGAGCAAAGCCAGATGTATCCTGAAACAGGCTCAAGAGGTGCATGCATTGATTGAAAACATGCAGGCACCAAAGCTGAAGGTGAAATGCGGACCAAAAGCATGCGCTTGAATGTTCTGGGCATATGCATGTAACAATGCAGCGAGCTCCTTGGGAAGCTTCATGGCAGCAGAAAACTTCCAACTGAGCGTTCAAAGCACTGAATGATCCAAAGCTTCCGTGCAGAAATGACGGCCGTGTGTGCATGCAAGGCACTAAACAGGGGGTTCACCCAGAAATTAGCTGCATGCCTTCACACGTCCTTCCTGTCCAGCTGTATTACCACCCTTCTGCATGGTTTCTATGTTTACAGGGGACTCTAAGCTGATGTAGAAACCCCTGATGTCTATCTCCTGCAGCACTGAGGAAGCTCACCTGAGCACCTCGTCCCCGGGCAGCGTCCCCTTGGCGATGTTTGGGGGCGGGTCCGTTGTGTAAATGAGCGCGTCATCCCCCAGAGATGCGCGCACCGTGCCCACCAGATGCCTCATGTACTTCTCATTGGGACCCACAAAGCCGAACTCGTTCTCCACCTGACCAGCCAGTACATTAGGGGTAAGTAAACGATTCTAACGGTACATTATTATTACGTGAAACGGTTTTCTTGCCAGAGACAAGATGCTTCTGCAGACGAGCTGCATGTACAAATTGAAGGGCAAGCAAAACTAAATCTGGTTTGTCAAGTACCCCTGAACAATTTGAGAAATTCAGAAAGCATCAGCAGCCTTCGTTAATTTTTATCAAGTCCTCAAGCAATGAGAAGCTCCCAAAGTCAGGATTTACTTGCGTTGGGTGTCTTATTTGACGGCTGTGGTCAGCAGGATTGAGAGAGAATCAATCTGCGCAGCACATTCTGCATGTGCATGCGATGTGCAGTAATGCGCTGACACAGTTTGCCTTCATTCCCCCAAGATTGAGTGGGCCTCCTTTTCATTTCACACTTCATAATCCCCCAAACAAGGTGGACTAGCAAAGGAGAGGCTGATGTGCTGTATCACGCTAAATAAAACCCTAAAATAAGAATAAAAAATAAAAAATAAAACATACCTGCACCATGAGAATGTTCCCTCCACGGCTGTACAGAAAGCGCCCGATCTTGGGCAGCAGCACTTTCCACCACCGATCCACCAACTCCAGATACGCCGGATCGTCCGAGCGCAGCTTCATCTTTCCTTTCCCGATCACCTGCATGCAAAAAAATTTTTGTTGACCCCAAGAATTGACTTTGCCACCAACCGAGTAACAAGCACTGGTTCTGCCTCCCGGAGTGCGATGCCATCTTTGGGGTTGCAAGAGACACATCAAGGACGCATGCAGCAACTGACTGGGGTTGAGTCATTGCAAGGTAGACTTCTTCATTCAACGTGAGTAGAATGATCCCTGTCACTGTGCCGTGCAAATTGTGTCCTTGAAAACCTGGCGCATGCCATTTTGTCACCACTGTTGACTTTTGCGCAAGTTTTAAGTCAGCAATGCCGAGCATTATTAGCGTGTGCCTAAAAGTCTCTGCCTGCCCAGGGTGTTGCGTATAACGGCCGGGACAGAATGAATACCAATCACAGTGCAACACTTGATTGGGTCTTGCTGGGATCCGGCGAGTCCAACAAGGGGCACAAACTGGGCAGCATTCGACTGCAACACTGTGCAGATGCAAATTGCCACTTCTAAAAGTGTGCATGGCAAGTACTGCACATGCAGACGGTGACGCTGTGTGAAGATGTCGAGCAGAGGCCTGCCTTGGAGGAGGCGAGCCACCAGGGAAATCCTCCAAAGTCCCACTCAGCGCAGATGTAAGGCCCCGGGCGCAGCAGCACATACAAGCCCTGCTCCTGAGCGAGCGCCAGGTAAGCCTCCAGGTCAGCAAAGCCATCCCAATTGTACTGTCCTGGGAAGGGCTCGTGCAGGTTCCAGGGCACGTACACCTGCGCAACACATGAAAGACGATGGTGTCAGAAGGATGCGCAATTGACCCAACCGCTGCCAGCAAAGCTGTGGGGTTGGAAGCTATCCCTGCCAATTCAATGCAGGTGCAGAGGACTTCTTGCGTTCATCAGGTGTCAGGAGCAATCGTAGAGCTGCCTAGATGTGGAGGGTCAAGGCATGTGCAGTCTCTCACCGACAGGGTATTGAGGCCCAGGGCCTTTGTTCGCAGCATCCTGTCCTTCCATTGCGCCGGATGTATCCTGTGGTAGTGTAGGCTGCGACACAGCAACAAAGAAAAGCTCTGAGAGGGAGGATTGACTGTCTCAAGTCAGAAGTCACTACAGATTCGGCAGCTGCAAGCGACGTGAAATACTTCGGTCGATTTGTGACTACATACAGACGCGACGCTACGATTTGCTTGGTTTAGGAACAAGTCCGATCATCTTAGTGCTCGATCTAGTCAGCAGATCGCAAGCTGATCAAGGTGCACTCACCTGCCGGATATGATCCTGAAGGGCTTGCCATCCATTTTAAACTGATCGTTTTCGATAGAAAAGAGTCTTTCTTCCAGTGCATTGCTCATCGCAACAGCAAGGGACAACAGCAGAATAAGATGCCTCATCAGAATGGCTGAAGACCCCATTCTGATAGAAAGCAGAATGGCGTTGTTTAGGTCGAGCAACATACATTGACTATGTCAGAAGTCCATTACATAGGATGTGGGAGCGAAATTTGGAAGTGAACGATATAAGGAGTTTCAAGGGATGTCCTGAGCCAAAATTGACATCTCAATTGCATGCAGCCTGGCAGGTACTATACAGTGCTGGGTCTCAAGAGAGCAAACCGCTCTTATCTGCTCAGTTCCTATCCTCCAGGACATTCGAACTGTAAGCATTTGTCACTGGCAATCACACATCTGCCAGACCTTCTGCCAATGCCAGCTGTCATGATCTAGTGTCAATACACTGCTGTGGCCATGGCAGCTGTCAGCCTGCTGAAGTGAGCTGTGGCAGTAAGACCTCGAGATGTACAAAGCGCTCCCATCGCCTCGGGACCCGATACACATGCAGGTTTCCAGTAGCTCAGAAATTACTGATTAATTGAGTCACCCGTGGCCCAGATATAAATCCTCACACGAGCACCCGCTGCTGCGCGGGGGCAACAGTGGGGTAGTGCGCAGGGCTGTTGGCTGTGAGTGCTCCGGATGGGGCGTTCCCTCTTGCCTTTGTCTCCCTCGCTTCCTGGCACACGCCGCAGGCGGTGCACCTGTGTCACAAAGTGAACACTGTGAGCTCTCTGCGTTTCTGCACAGTGCACAAATACTGTAGTGCTAGATCTAAACCCTCAACCAGATGTAGTTTAGGGCAACCCTAAACCCGGAATATTATGTAACATCACCCGCCGGGTGGCACTTATCAAGCGCCAGGGTTCTCCATACTGTAGCGCTCATAACAAAACTCGCAAAAAGTATTTATTTCTTGGCCGAATAGGGTGGATAGATAAGACCCATTTCACAAAATAATGAGACCTATGATAATTCTGAGACCAGATTTGAAAAGCTGTCGACAAGCCCCATCCAATGGAGCATGCCCCTGGTATTTGAAGTCAGGAAGCTCCCTCAAAGTTGTTTACGGAAAATCTCCCGCACCGGCTTTTAGAATGAGATGAGTAGTACAGTAACATCCGAAATACATGGTTTTCCCCAAAGTTGCTACCACTTGAAAGAGGTGCTGCGTGAACCAAAGCACAGTAAAGAGATACATAGAGCTCCAGAGTCTTACAATGTGACTCACAAGACCATGGATGAGTGCTTCCACCGGTACATAGAACACCAGTCATCAGACTGTTCAGGATTCCCCATCCTTAGGCTGCCTTCTCTTCAACAACGCTGGGTGCTCCTGGATCCTAGAGGCAGTTCACAGTACCAAGCATCCCAGCAAGTTTGATGCATATGTGGACTGCCGCAGAAGCGCACCAGCAGTGGACACAGCAGTCGGTGCATGGGGCCTCATGCAGGTTGTGCTTATGGCGCAGGTCCCTCCTTGTCAGAGATGCAAAGCCTGCACCGGCGCAGAGGCAGCTTCAAACATATTATCATTATTATTATTATTATTATTATTATTATTATTATTATTATTATTATTATTATTATTATTATTATTATTATTATTATTATTATTATTATTATTATTATTATTATTATTATTATTATTATTATTCTTATTCTTATTACACGCTTTTCCTGCCAACAGGCAAGGTGCGTTCTGCAGACAAGCTGCAATTAAAGGCTGCCACAATCCTACCCCTTGTTGGACTCGCCAGATCCAAGCAAGACCCAATCAACCGTGGGCATGGTGCTCAGTATTTGTACCGCCCCCCGCCAGCCGGGGCCAAACATATTCAAGGTCTAGAATGCACATGCGCATGACACCGCGATCTGTGTTGGGTGCATCGGCTGCCCACAGTGTGGCATCTTTTGCCTTGGGGATGCATCTTGATCAGTGCAGCTAGCGGCAAAATATAATCCGGAGCTCAGTTCCAGCACCGTTGACATAGGCACAGGTATAAGCTTTTGAAGCTCAGGGCGTGTGTATAGGGTCTCTGATAAGCAAATGCATCAGGGAAGATGAACGGGTCGCACAGCAAGCGAACTGTGCGCAGAAGAAGTATAGCAAGCAGGCGCCACAGCCTGCAGCGAACATTTCCGGGCTTCAGCATTGCGCAATCTCACTCTAGCTCGCTCTGCAAGCACTGCCATCGCCAGATATTACTGCCACTTCTCGAATTTGTGCTCTGTTTTCTCGATACAAAGTGTGACGATGCCATGAAAACTCGCAACACAAGAAGACTTCTCGGAAGGGCAGAAGACTTACATTCCTTGCTTTGGTGTATGGCAGAATAGTTCTCTCCGTAGAGGCACGGTGTACACCAGAGGCCGTAGCAACCTGCGACGAAGCGTTTCTGTCAAACATTTTTGGCAGTTCGGCACCCTGGACCTCACATAGAGCAGTTGCGCAATAGTTTATTGCTCCGATGCTTCGATAGTTTGCGTCTGTACAGCATGGGTTGACGTTTCTGCGAGCACTTCCGAGTCTCGTTGTGGTCTTATTTGTCATGGATGCAGTGTCCTTCGACCTAGGAGCAGAAAAGACAGCTCACATATTCCGCAGTCTTCCATGCAGCTGCAAAGCCCCGACGTCCAGGGTTGCTGTCCCCCGTACCTCATTGTAACTTTTCTGTTCGATTTGTTCTGAAGATGATGAGCGGACCTTTGCACGACCCTCTGGCAGAGGGCCTTCTGCGACTGCTCGAATGAAAGAACCCGAGCGTTGTTTATGAAACCGTTGGTGGGCCTGTTTTGGCAACACCTCAAATCCGCCTGTGATCCAGCCAGCCAACAAATTTCCCTAGTACTGTGGAATTAATTTCTAGCATTCGGCCACTGAAACGAGCATGCCCCTGTAGTTAGACCAAGCATCCCAGATCAGCCAACACATGCCCTCAGGCATTTTTATTAGATCATAAGCTTAAGGTCGAAGTAGCTTTTACAACTTCAAGTTGAAGTTGACTGCTTTGATGCCGGCCTTCCTACTCTTTTTAGTTTATACTACCTTGAATGTCTTGCACTTTTTCTACTCTTGAATCCTCACTGCAACGTCACAAAGAAGCAGGTCATAAAGAAGTGTGACAGACAACATAGAATAGCCTTGAAGAAATCAGTTTTGCCACAGAAAAGCCAAAGAAGATAAGACACAGGCATCACACTCGCCTCACAGTCGCCTCATGACAGGCTGCACCCCCCTTGCATTGGCCACCTTGCTGCCTGCAGCAACTCCATTCACCTTCACAACCCCTGAACCATAAGCCACAAACGCATCATTCCCCCGGCCGGCACCGTTTCCTGCCGCGGCCGCTGCGAGCGCTGTGCTGCTGTGGCCCGCCGTTGTGGCCTGCCCTGAAGTGTTAGTAATCGCCAGCCGCTCTGTCATTCGCCTCAGCAGAGCCCTCACAAAGAGCTCCCCTGCATCGCACAGCAATATATCGTGATAGTTCTTCACAAAATGCCTTCACAAAATGCGTGCTTTGGCTAAAAATGAAGCTAATACGCTTGTGCAGAGGCAAAGCCATCGACAAATGCAGCCACACAAAGTCTGTTAGCAGGCACTGGAAAGCAATCTTCTACATCAGCTGCCTGGGTGCAGGCTTCAGAAGGGCGTAAGAGCTTTCCTATAACAAAAGAAATAGCATTCCCATCAAAGCATCCTATGGTGGGCGATGCATCACATCTGCAGCCCCATAATCTTGGGGGCAACTTTTATGGAACGCTGGGCAACTGATTCACATAACATGTAGATGAGATGCCTGGCCCAGGTCTGACCCCCGCAGATGCCAGAGAACCGATCTGTCATTCTCAAACTCAAATGATAGTGAGAGGGGAAACGCCGCGCACCGGTGTAGCCGATGCCGGGCGCCAGTTCAGGCACGAGCGGCGCCAGCTGGCGGGCCAGCGCCGACAGCTGGCGCGCCAGCTCACCCGCTGACTGCGGGTTACTGCTCGGTCCCCCCTCCGCGCGCAGGAGTGCGGCGATCGCGCGAACGCTCTCTAGCACTTCTGCATCCTCGGCCGTCGGCTGCACTGCCGGGGACAGCCTGCAATACCGCGCATAGCACAGGCATGCACTCATGCCTCGCTTTTGATACTTAATGATCCACGATGCAGTGCCAGCCCAATGCATGTCTTGCAGACAGAGAGATGTTGAAGTAACAAGTTAAATTAATTAATTCTCCGAGGGGCTTGACAAGACAAGACCCACCGGTGGGTCCCATTGTGCCACTGGGAAACTCTCAAAATGCTGACGAAAAGCAGCCTATAACATCATCGTTCGCATGTCTGGGACTGCCATGAACCCTGCCTTTACTCTCCAAAGGCAGGAAAATACACACGTCATAGAAAAGAGCCGTGAGCGTGATAAAACTTCGAGAAATGTCAAACCGTGTCAGCAGCTCGAGGGGCGTTGGCAGCGGCAGCAGCAGCGGCCGCCAAGGCCCGAGCGCGCCGATTGCCGAGCGGCTAAGCGCGGCCGGCACACTCCCCAAAACAGCCGCCAGTCCCCCTGACACTGCGTAGCGCTGCAGTGAATCCACCGCCGCTACAAGCTCCTCCACTAGGACCTCCTGCGAGTGTCAATGGTGCACATTATTTCTACAACAAGTTTTTCCTGCCAAAGGCTACGTGCGTCCTGCCGACCTGTAAATTAGCCTGCCACAAAAACTACCCCTTGTTGGACTTGCCAGATTTAAGCAAGCTTAAGGCCCCATCAACCGTGGGTACGGATCTCAGTATTTGTACCGGCCCCGCCAGCCGGGGCCATTGCACATCACCCTCAGCTAAATGATAAAACAAGGGGTTTAACTATTGTGGTCTAGTGTGTAGCGGCAAAAGCAGCAACAGCTGCCACCAGCTCCTCACCAGCACCTCATCTGAATATTGAGCACCTCAAATAAATATTGGACATGTGATCTTCGGCTGAATGACAATGTCGTTGTGCAATGGTGAGTCACGAGCCTCTTGATATAGCTGATACAGTGCTATGTGAAGGAGGCTACACCTAGGGTCCTGAATCTCCTGAGAGAGGCAGGCACTTCCCACGCCTAGTTTTGATATTAACAGGTGCCCCCCAGAGGGTTGGCGTGGCCTGTGCATAGCTGGGCTCAGCAGACAGCTGGGCTCACAAAGGGATGAGCATTGCGTACACCAGAAGATTCAGGACCAGATGCCATGCATATACCACTACTCGGGGACATCATCCGAGTGGCCCTGGCTCATACTCCCATGCAAATCAATAGAGGCAGTTCTGCCTTCGCATATTGTATCGCTAGCATGGATCCAAATTTCACCCACATCCTTTCCCTGCCGGGACTTGCGAATCTAGAAAGGGCACCTGCAAATCCTTCTGAAACTGTAAATCCTTGACTTGGGGAGGAGAGCCCAAGATAGGGAGATTTGGGAGGCTGTCATTGACACGCTGCTGCTACGCAGGTGATAATGATAACAGAAAGAGGAACGTAGCAGAAATGTGCTTGCAGCACAAATTCTTACCTGTGCATAGCTGCCCTCCTGGCTGAACACTAGCCTCAGAGCCTCCTTGGCAGTGCCGTCCAAAACAGGCGCGCCGGATCCCCCCGCCGGATTAGTCACCGCCGCTTGGGGGTTAGTCACTGTCAGGCCGCTGACCGTGTACCGGCCAAACGCGCTCGACAGCCGCTTCAGCCGACCAATGTCGATGCGCGATTTGTTCTGCGCAGCGCATACACAAATTGTCACGCTCTAGTGCAGTGCATTGGCCCCGGCTGGGAGGGGGCGGTACAAATACTGAGCACCGTGCCCATGGTTGATTGGGTCTTGCTTGGATCTGGCAGGTCAAACAAGGGGTAGGATTGTGGCAGCCTTCAAATGCAGCTTGTCTACAGGATGCACCTTGCCTCTTGGCAGGAAAAGCGTGTAATAATAAGAACAATAGTGCAGGGCGAAATATCTTGTCTTTCAGGCCTCAAAATGACCGGGTGCCCCATAAACCGGGCCAGGACTGTCTTTTGAGCATCCCTGCCTTGTATGTCAACAAGACATTGCCCCACTTGAAGGTCCCCCGTGGCCTTAAAAAATCTAGAGAAGATGCAAATACTACAAAATGTCATATTCCAGATCCAAAAGGACGTGAAGGATACTTGAGAGCAGAGAGACAGATCAGCCAACAGATGAGGCCATCACCATGTTGTCAGACACTGGGCCTTCTGGTCATTGAACTTCCGACAATATCACCCTCCCGTTAGGAATGCATTTGAGCAAATCTACTGTGAAAGCGACATTCTTGTAATAAGTTCAACGCCCAGAAGACATGGTCTTTGACAAGAAGATGTCAAGAAACACAAGGGGGAGAAATGCATGTGGTGGGGCTGCGGCCTGCTCCTTTACTAAAACTGGCGTGCTTGCCACCAGTATGCAGCGGTTGTGCTTTGTGGAACTCAGGCGCTGCTTCAGTTCGTATTCTGCGTGAGCAAATGGAGGAGTCCAACAGCAAGATGTGTCTATATTTTATATTTTGTATATATACATTTTATTTTCCCCCTAAACCCTAAAAACCATAGATGTATATATATGGGTTAATTTTCTACCCTAAACCCTTAAAAAAAGGTGTGTTACTCACGGCGTAGAGCAGTTGCTGCAGAGCTGCACGCGTGCGAGGGTGGTTGTCAGTCAGCAACCGGCGCGCTATATAAGGGAAGCACTCCTGCACGATGCGGACAGACTTCAGATCCAATACTGGTTGCGATTCTTGTCAGAACTTCCTTATTTTTTTGTTGCAAGGTGCAAGGTAGAGGGAGTTGGAACAATCCAAAAGCCAGTTGTTTCAGGAGGCACGGCATACTACCAGAAAAATGTTCAGGCACCCTCTCAATCTCCGAGTTGATTTTTTCACAAAACTGGGGGGCTCAGCGTGCGTATCACACAACAGAAACTTCAGACAAAAGAGAGGCTTAATGCACAGGTGCACAACTGGCGAGACACTGACGCATGCGAGGGAGAACCATATTGGAATTCGAATCTCTTTGTGCAAGGGATTTATTGCGCAGAAATGCTGACCTGGACGATGGAGTACTGGGGGTCAACTCGCAAAGCGATGCCTTCGATGACGCTGAAGGCGCGCAGGATCAGAGCGAAATATGAGGGAATCTGCAGCGCAGCACAAGTAATTTACTCCAAGCCGGTACCTAATTAAGTGATCGGACCATTGCGATTAAGTTATTTGGAGGCGGCAACGCATTTGAGATTTCCCGAGACAGTGCAGCACCAAAATCCCCAGACAGCCTCAAAATCAACTTTGTTATTTCTCTCAGCTCTGTATCTCAAAGTATTCGTCAATCCTGGTGGAACAAAGCAATTGCCTCATATTGCAACTGTTCAGATACAGGCATGTGGAAGTCTGTCCAGGGCCAACTCCCCGTATATGGACCTTCTTTATCAAGCATTTGGAGCAGCACTTGATCAAAACTCGCCTCATAGATATCGCGCTTGTCTGTTTAATACACATGCAGCATACAGAAACACTCGCGTCAAGGGGTAAAAGAAAGCAAGAAGGGGTCGCGCCTCGAAGGGGTATTCGCGCGTCAGGCGCTCGAGCTGAGCGGTGACATCATCGATGTTGATTCCCTTGGCCCCCCCGCCGGCACTCAGCTGACTCAGCACCGCCCCCAACGGCTCAACCAGCCCAGCTTCACCCGGGTCCGGCGCGCCTGCACACATTGTAGAAAATTTGCATTTTCGATTCAGACAAAAAACATACCATGAAAGACATTCTTTTCCTGCAAGTTACAACGCAAATTAAACGCCGTGATGGATTCTAGTCATGCTGGTAGCACTTTGCCAAAGCAAAGCTGCAAGGCAAACCCAAGAGGTTCTGGCCATGCAGGAGAGATGTGCATCGAATAGCATAAGGACTGTGGACGAATGTCTGCCCGGTGTGCTTCAAGAAGGAATTATATGCCAAGCAGCCAGCGTCACAACCATGCATGTTTTAAGATGGGCCATGCTATTCTGCCTTTCCCTCTGTAAGCAATGCCTGAATTCCATCTCACCTGTCCAAATTGTTGAAAAAAAGAGCCTCGTTCTCCGCCACAAATTTATAAAAATAGGAGGATATGCAGTGTGAGTCACCTACGGGCCTGACACGCAGATGAACAAGGGCAGGCGCACTAGCATATGGTATCACGCCCTTAACCCTTCCCAAAAGTCAGCAGAGACGTTCTGCTTCTAAAACTTCCCTGAAACCTGTGTTTAAAATTTAGGGTTTTTTCGGTTTAAGGTCACCCTAAACCCGAAACCCTAAAATATTCCCTTGGAGCGAACTCACCTTCGGGGGTGAACCCCAGGTTGACGAGGTCCTTAGCAACGCCGGCCCAGTCCTGCACGCTGAGGTGCGCTATGTACTCGACCAGAGCCAGTCTCCTTTCAGGCGCCACCTCGGTCATCAGGCCAAAGTCCAGGATACAGATGCGGCCGTCCGCAGTTCTCAGCAGATTGCCTGCCCAGCGCAACATTTGAAGCTTGAATTTGACCTTTTTGAAACTCAAATCGATTAAAACCAAAGTGGATCAATTTGAGATCAAATCGGCATTTGATAGAAGGAAAGAATGCCTGCGCCCTCACTGAAATTTTAGGGGAGTGTGGAAGAGATCTGGCCACGGTTGACGGGCTCTTGTTTCAAGGCATCTTCTGCATTGCGCCTGGGTAAAAAATTATTTGGGCAAATGATGGTGGATTTTGTACCAGGATGTGGATCGGCGTGCAGGAGCCCTGTCTCCAGCAGCTGCAGGGAAGCAAAGAAGAGCTATGAGCACCCACGTTTGCAATGTGAAATTGCAAGCGCACAGGCAGATGCACGATTTGATCCTTGCACTCAATACGGCACAAGACAGAGAGGTCCACATGATGAACACTGTGTGCAGTTCACCCTGAGATTTAAAGCACCAGTGGACAGCACAGGGAAGCGCGGGTGCTTCCTAATAAAATGCATTATAAGAAAGCTCGCCCATAAGAAAGGGTCTGAAAAAGGTGCTGATCATCTCAAAGAGAGCGATCTTTACCTGGATGAGATAGCAGTTGAGGAGTGTGGAGCAGAGCTCGCGCACGTCCGCCGCAGTGCTCTCACTCAGCTTCTCCCCTGCAAAGGTGCACTATTACACTTCAGGCCTTTGGCGGATCACACCGCCACCGCCGCCGGGGGAGGTATTCCCCAGCAGCCCATCGGACCCGCCCTCGCCTCCTCAGGTGACATTGCTGCGATGCTACAACTGCCAATGTGCTTAATTTCTAGCGGGGAGCCTGCGTGCGCTGCATCCCAAAACACATGATGTCTTCCTTCCAGTCAAGATGTGCATCAGCTCCAAGGCGCGTTATGTAATAGACGATTGCCCAGTGAGGCAACACTTCTGCAACACAATGACGCCTGTATAGCTCAATCAGCCGTCATGCTACGTTACTGAGCAACACATTGCGATAACAGATCTATCGGGATGTGTTGAAGCTGTCATTCTCACAGCTGCTGAGATCAGCGCTGCATCACCCATCAGCGTCTGTCGGGTGGACCTATGCATCCCTTAAAGAGATGGCAAGAGCAGAAACACCCAGCCTGCACCTTCTCTTCCGAGTTGAAAAACCAGACAGAAGAGCAACCCACCTTGCACCCATGCAGTTGTGAGGATTTCCCGGCTGGTCAGATTCTCATACACCTCAGCTACTGTGATTCCTCCCAGGTCGGCCATCTGGTCCCTGAATACAACGGCGTTCCTGGCCTCCCTCTCATAGTCCAGCTCCTGGAAGAACCGCCCCGCCCACTCGTCTATGAGGCCCACCCAGTCTGTGTTTATCTGCATCAAAATTGCCAGAAACATTTACGCATCTTCAAGAGATCAGATGTTTCCATGCAGGTTCTGCAAAAATAGTTGCCCAGCGCAAAAAAAGGATAATGCATGCAGAGGAGAGGATGTTCTGACTATACACAACCAAGGTCCCGCAGCATTGTGTCAAAGCGTGGCACCACATGTTGCGCGAGCTCGTAAGAGGGTCACCAAAGACCCCTGTGAATATAGCTTGCTTGCACACCACAGAACGCATCAAATCAAATATCCATTCCATAGAACTTTTTCGGTAATTTTGGGTTCAATTTCGCAGTTTCTGCTACTGTGGCCCACACCATGCATGCAATGCTGCAACGTAATTGCATCGCTGCAGAGCATTCCGAAAGTCAGCGAAGCCGACTTTGGCACCATTTTGACATCCTAGAGGTTCCTCCTGGCAATTTGCTTCAGCCATTTGGATCCTAGGATGGGCTTCCGGTCTGCCCCCAGGACCACTTCCTTTCTTGTGCCCGAAGTGCTAGGCGGGTGGCAAATCTCTGGGATACCCATTGATGGCACAAACTACAACTCATTCTAGTTCCACTGCGAAAGCCAAGCTTGGGCCATTCAATTGTGGTTTTCTTATTTATATATATATTTTTTCTATTTCTACCTGACGAACGCTAGGGTGCGCTGCAAGACACAAGTGTCCCAGAAAAACAGTAAGTGCGCTGCAAGCATGTGCCAGATGACTGCCTGGAGTCTGCCCTGCTTGCAAGCTCGGGGGTTTGCATTGGCTGGAGTACAGGCAGCGGCAGGCCCGTCCCTTCATGCACATGATTCTGGCGGGCCAATATAAACTTGCGATATAATGACTTATGACAACGGGCTGCCGGCAAGTAAGCACACCTCTGGAATTGTCTTCACAAAGAGCGCGAGGCGGCGCATGAGAAACAAATCGAGCGCGATCGCTCTTCTAAGCGCCGGCCGTTGCACCTTCACCGCAACTTCTGCTCCGCCGTACTGCGGAGCCAGCGTGGCACGGTACACCTGCCCGTAAATTACAAACTTGATTTCAAACACTGAAAGACAGACAGGCATGGTGTGACAGCAGTTTCAGCATAGGGCCCATCAAACGCAAGTTGATGGCGCAGTGAGCAGAACTGCATGTGGAATGTCAGTGGAATGTCTGAAGACGGCACTGGATATCATTTCATGCAATGCCATGGCAAAGCATGTCGATGAGCAAGAGGAAAGCAAGCTGCAATTTTTGCTCCTGCTGCTGCGATTTGCAGCTCAGCTGGCACCCTTTACCTGCAGCCGTCTGCAGACACTCCTTGACAGGGACAGCGTGAAATGATGTCACAAATTATTGATAAGTTTAGGGCGCGCCTGGCCGAGCGAGGCAGCAGCGATGGGCTCTGCACTGACAGACGCCAGAACTTCCATCGGCGGCCGCTGCCAGGCAGCCGCCATCGTCAGCAGCGCCTGCCAAAGCCCAACACAATCCTCTTTTAAACAGCCACATCAAAACATGCAGACGATCGTGTCCATGGCCCACTTATCAGGAATCAGTCCCAACGAGTACAGGGAGCATTGGGTGCCCAAGAGGTCTGATCAGCCTTGTTGGCAGGCACATGAGTTCCCTTGTTCTGTGTCTCTATGCAGAGGCATTTGGCACATGTTCGCTTTCAGCAGAGCACCTTAACCCAGACCGGTGCAAGGTAGCAGAAGGGCAACCTATGCATCCTTTGTGCCCGCCAAAAGCTGTAGGAGACCTACGGTATGCAGGCTCTGAGACACTACAAAAGAACATTGCCGGGGCGCACGTCTGATGTGGGGAATGGGGGCACTCTGTCCTGCAGGCGTTCGATCTCTATGAGGTAGGCCGGGCTGAGAATGTCCACTCGCGTGCTCACAGCCTGCGCCACCTTCACATAAGCCGGTCCCAATCGCTCCACCGCCGACCTCACCTGTCGAGCAGACATGCAGCATAAAAAATATACCAGCGCAAAAGATTTCACAAAAACGTCAGTGCGTGCAAGCATACTCCCCACCTCTAAGAAGCAAACTGGATACCAGATTTCTGCCCTTCTCACCGCCTGTACTCTTTGGATCCAATGGTTGGTCACCAACCCCAATTGTTTTGCTGTCCATACCTTAAGAAAGTCTCAGGAAAGAGCAAGAAACTGCAGGACAGATGTCGCAAGCCTGATGTAAAGACCTGAATTGACGGGGGATGGATCACAGAGCAGCCATGCCAGGGGCAATAAGAGGTGCGAAAACAAAAGTGTGCAAGGGGAGGAGCGACAGACAAACCCACCTGCGCAGCTCTCTGCGGCGCATTTCTGTCGAGGCCGCCGGTCAGGCGGTCATAGAGCAGCCCAGCGCCGACAGCCGCCGCCGTCGAAAGCACCTCCGCCGTCCGATGCGCCACCGCCACAGGCCTGCGTTCAATTCCCGATGCCGACACTTCTACCCCCACTTTCCTCTCTTGTTCCTTTTGGTGCGCCTTCACAGCCATTGCCACAGGTCTGCCTGCAACTCGTTTACATCCAGGATCTGAAACCTCAACTACGCATGATTGACTGCAAAGTAAAAGCAGTGAGGTTTCCAGAATGCAGGGACTTCAGATCTGAAAGAGATCTAAAGGACAGGATTTGTACCCAGTGCCCAACCCTTGCTTCACAATTTAAATTATATGAGAATATATGAGAATATTTTCGCACCAGCGCGGGGCCAATAACGCACGTCATCATAAAAAAAAATACCCGTAAAATCTATTTTTTTTTGTAGTGGAGAAATTCGCACATGCGGGCCCAGCAGTCAGACACAGCAATAGAATTCAATCCTAAACTCTATACAAAACCTACATATCATTGTAGGGGATTAATTTCGCACCTGCGAGCCCAGTACTCGGCCACGGCGTCCGCGTCATACTCCCAGGGCAGTGGTACATCCACCCCTGATTCATCTCCCGCGCCCTCTCCAGACGAGGATGCCAACCCAAGTGCCAGAACTCCAAGCGCCAGGCAGACCACTGTCTGCGTGCTGTAGCCGCCCATACCTACAAGTTGCAGAATTAAGTATCAATTGCTTGTTTCACGCCTTTTGGAGGAACGGTAGAGATGTCCAGGAGTGCTCAATCACACTCCTGGCATGAGAGCGATGAAGAAGCAGGGCTCATGACTTGCTTTAGTATTTGCTTTTTGCATATGTTCACAAACGTTCTGAATCACTGGATCCTCGATTTCGTTGCCATTTGAAATACTTTCCGGCGCATGCCCACTTGCGGGCTGACTTCTGTTGACTTCTGCATGTGAACGGCCCTAGCAAAGCATTCCAGACCTACACACTCCATCGTGGCCCAGGGGTCAATTAGACAGCCAAGCAGATGCTTGCATACTTTAATTGGCATATTCCAATTGGCACCAAGCATGCAGAAGACAGAGACCCACCCGTAGCACCTATTCCGCTGAAAGTGTCCGAGAGGATCTGGTTCGCAGCAACGGCGTCGCCCAAAAGCAGCCGCGGCAGAACGCTGACTGTACCGGTGACTGTTGCCAGGAAGACAGCTGGCGCTGATCTGGCACCCAAGCTCAAATCGCCCAACGCCCCGGATACCACCCCCATCGCATCCCCTGCATCATAAGGAAAACAACCCTGAGTACTGAAAGAAACTTTCCACCACAGGGCAAGCACAAGCCCTTGATCAGTTTTTCTTGCATGCGCAGGCGTCTGTCTTCGCATGCATGGGATATCCAAGACAATAGAAACTGACACTTGACATACCTGCCATGCTGCCATGCAGGAGCAAGTATACACAGTAGAGAGTTGAGAAAAGATATTTCTTCTGGTTCTGCTTTGATTTCTTGCATGTGCACCAGTTCAAGTGATTTCTGCACTGGCAGTACATCACATTCCTCCTTGGTGTCTGCCTTTGTAAGTCCCGCTGCTCCCAGGAATGTTAAAATTTACATAAGGCATCGATCTTTGCGGGGAGCAAAATTTGACCAGGGAATAATGTCAACTCACCAAGTGTGCGGCTAGCTGCGAACCCCAGGCCGCCTACACTGGCGGGCCCAGAGGTCTGCCCCTGCAGCCATTCAAACAGACTCTCTGCCGCGCGCTGCGCTGCGCGTGTGCCATAGTGTGGGGGAAGGCCGTGTAGGGAGGGGCCAACATTGCCTGAAGAGGCCGTCAGGGTGTTCACATATGCTGCTGCCCCCTCCACGCCCCGTTGCCCCGCCTGTGCAGTTTGGCAACGCTCCTTTAAACGCTCCATGGTAAGGCCATTGCAGGTGGGTAAGTGCTTGCATATAAATTCCCAATCCCATGCAGCTTTGATGATTACTGACGGGACTGTGTGACTATTCAATTTTCTGCAGCTTTCATGGTGTGCGTGGCTTTGAAACACTTCAGTGCCATTGCTACGTGCGCAGGAGATTTGTACCGACACCATTCCAAATTAGACTCCCCCAATAGCCTGGTGAGGGCTTCGTAAGGGTCTGCCCTCGTAATGACACATTGAGCTTGCACACATACGTAGCGCTCCAAAGAGACAGAATGCCAGCACAGCAAACGGACAGAGAGCGCGCCTGAGCCAATCCGGCTGCAGCTTCTTGGATACTGCGCAGGTCGGGGCCGCTGCTAATATCGGGAAGCTGCGGGGCGGCCGGCAGCTGAAAGGCCGGCAGCTGCACCGACGCCGGAAGCTGCGGCAGCTGCAGTGGCAACAAACCCGCTTTATACATCTGCTGGTGCAAGTGCATGCCTTCGTAAGCGCTGCACAAGAACTAAAGTAAAAAACGTTCTTGTTTGTTCTCAACATGTCACCATGGGTCAGAGCTCTGACCCTCGAGGTGTCTGCGCATGCCATCTGCGTTGGCTGGGTATGCTCGAAGGATGTCTGAAAATTACCTGTGGCAGTGGTGGGAGCTGCACAGATGGTAGCGAGACTCGCTCAGTTGCTGATTGCAGTAGCCGCTTGGCTGCATCTGTGCCATAGTGCGGCTGCTGCGAGGCCCAGAAGCGCTCATCCTGCACCTTGTCCGCCAGCGTTGCAAGCTGTTGGCTGCACATTCACAGCACTCCCTGTCAGCCATTGAATGCAGTGTGCATCCTGAAACTTTCGGGATCCTTTCGAGGCCAGGGATCCTTTCGGGGCCATTTTTAGTTGAATTCGGGATATCACGGCAGGTGCATGCATTTGCAGACAATGTGGGCTACAGGCATGCCAGGTGGGAAAGTGTGCTTGGGCCATCAGAGAAAGTCGGCAGGAACTTTGGAGGGAATGTACTTGATCGACGTCACATCAATTCCGCCTGACGCGGCGTTCACATGTGTGCGAGCGCGGCTTCTCTTTCCACGGGGTTTGTGGCAGTGAGGCCTGGCAAAGATCATATTCAGTACTCTGAACCATCACGAGTGTCTAATTTGAAAGCAGTAGATTTCACAAATAGGCATAATTTGTAGATTCAATCACATGGAACGCCAGACTCTCAGAAATATAGCAGGCTCCAATAGCTTGGCATGCATTTCGGAATCATCGGGATGCTCACCTTGTCAAACTTGATGGGCTGTTGAACAAGTTTCCATGCAGCTTGGACATTCTGGTCGACGAAGATCTATCCATCTCGAATTTTCAAGGACACTTTGCTTTGCGCGCTGTCTTTTCACCGGCCTAGTACATTTCTCTTATTGATATCAAGACTTGAATGAGGAAACTCTTATTTACACTGCAATGGCTTCAACAGAGCACCCTGCAAATTGAATTCTAGCAATATCTTGCTTTCTTGAACTCTGCATAATTGAAAGCTTTTGGGCCATATGCATATTGATGCTTGCTCGCAGCTCCACAGTGCGCCACATAGGTGGGGGATTCTCACAGGCAGGATTAAATCCCTTGAGGAGAAGGGTCGAGATTCAAAGCTCGATTCCGCGCAACTGCGAAAGTTTACGTCTGAGCTGCTCATCGATCGCCCAGGCGCAGCGTCTTTGTAAGAAATCGTATCTTTTCTGTGGACCTCATGTAGCCCAATTTGTTTTTCCTTCATCAGAGCGCTGCTTTATTGCTATCCGTGCCCCAGTACTACGCAAAAGCTAGTATTTAAAGTACCATGATCCCTCGCAGAAGTTTCGAACCGTTGGCTTAGCTTGGCAACTATGGGTACGAAATACATGTCGCAGATAACTCTGGAGTATGTGCGGTCTTTGGCCCCCAGTCGGAAAGGTACGACCTAATGTATTATTCAAACTGGTGTGCAGATATACAAAAGTACCACCTAGTGGCATGTAATGTTCGACTTTCGCTTGTGTATGCCGCACAACCGAAGACGTTCCAGACCTAGCAGATCGTGTTGGCGTTGGCAGCGCCATAAAGCACTTGACTAAAGCATGGCATCGCACCTTGAGCGATTGACAATCTGTGCACGGCTTTGCAGACATTCAAAACGGCCTTGGCGTGATATCACTGGCTGCAGTGTTATATGGAGGTGAGGACACTTCTAATCCAAGTTGCCTGGTTTGCAGCGATGGTTGTGCATGCGCTTCCAGGCATTGGCCCTTTTGCAACAAGCCACACGTAGTCGCCGAGACATCAGGCCTTGCGCAAGTATATCAGAATTAAAACCTGGTGATCATACGTTCCTTCGTACCACATGCAGGCATGACATACCATACGATGGCTCCTGAAGGCATGGGGCAACTCTGTCTGTTGCAGGCCTGTTTCTTGCAGTGGGAAGTACTTTCCTCCCGCCATCTGGAGAGTGCTGGAGCATCGTTCTGATCTGGGCCGCAGCTCATGTTGGCGGGTACTGCATGCATAGGGTGAGTCACTCTCCATGACAGCTATGCGGTGCTGATGTGTCACCCCGTCCGCTGCAGACAGATGCAGGGGTCTTGCCATTTGCACATTTTGTGATATTCATGATGCCGATTGAAAAGTTATATGCTGCCGGCCTGCCGGCAATTCGACGTCAGCTGCAGTGTTCAAGCTGTGTCAGCATGCATGCTGAATGCGCATTTGGCCACCCCACATGCCCCTTACTCAAGAGGGAGGCTGCGAGTACTTTCAGCTGGGAATCTGCGATTCGAAAGAGAAACATTCAAAATCCATACTCAAGTTCAAATTCAAATTCAAATCGGTGGCTGCAGGCTGTGCCGCAGATGCCGCCCCTGATGGGCATGCTGGTGGCGGGGATCATCTTACGTAATGTACCGAGTGATCTGGTGCGGGGGCTGAAGTACAGCTGGGCCAAGGAGATCAGATATGGCTGCCTCGCTGTCATCTTCCTCATGTCAGGCCTGGAGCAAGATCTCGAGGTGTGTCACAGAGATATCAATACTCCTGCGCATGAACGTATCATGGAGTACTTCACACAGCCTGTATGCAAAGTCAGAACTTCCCTGCCCCGTTCTGACTGGCGGCTCACTCAACCAAGTACCGAGCCCACGGGCCCCACCAGACAAGGTGGAAACGTGGTACTGGTGTTTAGCGTCCAGAAAACTGCCAGTTATCCACAGCCTGTGATGGCTGCTAACTAGCCGTCCACTGAGGGTGCACCTTAGCTCTTCAAAGGTGTTGATATCGAGGCGTAGGAAATGCCTTCGAGGGATCAGGATTCCCTGTTCCCCTGATATTTCTTGCTGCAAAACACAGCACTCACCATCGCCGTGAACCCGGTCTATCCAGCCTCAGAGGGTTGAGCCCTGCACATGCTTACCAACGGTTGATTGGGTCTTGCTTGGATCTGGCGAGTCCAACAAGGGGTAGGATTATGGCAGCCTTCAACTGCAGCTTGTCTGCAGGACGCACCTTGCCTCTTGGCAGGAAAAGCGTGTTGATAATAGTAATAATAATAATAATAATAATAATAGTATGCTTACTATGCATATGCCTCCGATTGGATGATGCCGTATTCTTCAGAGCACCGAACCCACGGTAGAGTGGGTCTTGCTTGGACCTGGCCAGTCTATCAAGGGGTAGGATGCATGGCAGCCTTCACCTGCAGCTTCTCTGCAGATGCACCTTGCCTCTGGCATGAAAACTCGTCTAAAAACAATGAAAATCCTCACATCGGCTGTCGGGTGTTGAATACTGCGCGTGTTGCCACCAGGTGTTCAAGAAGGTTGGTGGTGCAGCGGTGAGGCTGCTGCTCTTTCCTGGCATTGTGGAAGCGCTAGTCTCTGGCGCTGTGGGCATTGCTGTCTTCAAGATGCCCGCTTTGCTGGCATTCGCGATGGGCTTCATCCTGAAGGTGCGCCTGCTTGTCTGGGCTATCCCTATGCTGACTATGCAGAGGTCTCGTTGCCGGAAGACAGCGCTGGTGATCAAATGGCACAAGCATTGTTGCAGTGTGAGGAATGCCACAAAGCACAACTGGCTCGTTGCAATATTATTATTATTACACGCTTTTCCTGCCAGAAGCAAGGTGCGTCTGCAGACAAGCTGCAGTAAAGGCTGCCAAAATCCTACCCCTTGATGGACTCGCCAGATCCAAGCAAGACCCAATCAACCGTGGGCACAGTGCTCAGTATTTTTCCGCCCCCCGCCAGCTGGGGCCATTGCAATATGTTCTGCAGATAAGCAGCAGGAGACCTAGCTGCGCTTCAAGCGAGTGACACAATGTTGGAGTGTGCATGCATCCAGAATAATTCCGAATTTTTTCATTTTTGTAGGGTTTAGGGTTTTTATTTATATATATTAAAAAAAATGTTTTATAGTTATTATTTTTTTAGGATAAGTGGGTCTGTGTCTGCACACAGCCGGTGGACCCAGCGATTGCAATATCCATCATGTGCGGCTATCAACGGGAGAAACGGGGGGTGGCTAAAGGTGCGCACTCTTGGACATCAAGGGTGTATCCTTATTTTAGCTCGAAGCCCGTAACACTCCTCAACCAGAAATTCACCGGAGTGAGAAAAGACTACTTCCTGGCACCTGCTGCACCTCTTAGATATTGACATGTTGCTACAAATCCTGTACGTGCTGTGTCATCTCATCGATGTTTATATCTCTGAATGCCTCTTTATGCGTGTCAATCCCTCATCTGCTGCAGATTCTATTGATGCGTGCAGGTATCCCCTCCCTGGTGGTGGCTGCAGCCAGCTTCGACGACCTTGTGGCGATCACCCTCTACACCATCTTTATCTCCCTTGCCGTGACCAAATCCGACGGCAACCTCGCATGGAGCATCGCCTCCGGTCCGCTCAACGTTGTCTTCGGCCTCGCGCTCGGCGGCGCAGGTGCGCGCACTGTAGTACCTGATCACATGATCGCTTAGTAATGAGGGCCACAGATCACTTGCGACGGCCAAGCCATGCATATTTCTTATGGAGCACAACCACCTCCTACTCACCATGTCATGTGATCAAATTACTGATGTGCGACAATAGAAGCATGCAAACTGCATGCATGCAAGGGTTGTGAAAGGTGAGTTTTCCTGGGCAGGAATTCGCGTGTAATGGGTCTCTGAGCAAGTGGATTCTGAGCCAGTGTTTCTACGAGTGCTCAGTGGAGGCTTAAAGGGGTGTGTGTTGATGTAGGTGCACTGATCTGCTCTGCCACTATCATTTGGAACAGCCATGTCAAGCGTACACTGGCCGTCCTGCTCATCACTCTTCTGCAGATGTACTTCATGGTGCGCGCTTACAAATTAATTTTGCAGAGTTTCTTTTTGCCACAGAATGACTGCACTCAAGCCTGCAGTGGCTGCCAATATGCCTTACACAGGACAAAATGGAAAGCCTGAGACAAGAGCCACTGCATGATAATAGTTACTCACACACACAATAAAACAATTTTTTGCTTTGTGGGGGGATGCATGCCTGATTGCCAGCCATGCGTTGCCGAACATGTCAGCACAACAAAATGGGCGCATCTTTTCAGCATGCTTAATCGTGCATGCTGTGCTTCTCTGGAAACTGTGCACAATCTGCTTACCATAACCCATCCTGTCGGTGTATTGTGTCTGGTGTACGGTGCATCGATGAATGCCTAACAAAGAAGAGATCAAGTAGAAATCGGATTTCCACCCCCACAGTTCGCCCGCATGTTTTAGACCGCTGTGCTGGCGCGCATGCAGGTGACGTTTGACTTCTCAGGGGCGGGCATTCTGGCGGCAATTGTGCTCGGGGTGACAACATCCACGCTGTGGAGCAAAGGGTGGCCCAAAATGCTATCAAGCGGTGTGCTCCCCCCTTTCGTGCGATGAACTGTTGAATTGCAGGGGAGCGCAGCCTGCAATCCGCACTTCAGGTCCAAGTCTTCATGCTGATGTCAACATCAGTCATGGATCACAAGCTGCAGTTGATCTGCACAGTCTGCCATTTTTTCACATTTGACGTGACCACAATCGTCAATAAGTCTTGATGTGAGGCCAGCTTGCTTCTTGATGTATGTTTCAGAGTAGTACCAAGGACCTCTTTGGAATCGTCAGTGGACCCCTGCAACGACTGACCAAAAGGATGCATTGGCGCCTTTGATGATAACGCAAATTCGTATCTTATCTCTTCTTATCTTCATCTTATCTTGTTTTTATCTTCTTCTTATTCTTCTGGTGGTTATCCTTTCCATCAACTCTGGCCAGCTTATGCCGCGCACAGGTGCCAGCGACAACCACTCTACGATAGTGGAGCACTATGTGGCGCTGTTCTGGCGGTGGGTGGCCCAGCCTTTGCTCTTTGGCATTGTGGGGACTGCCATCAACTTCAGGAAGATCCAGGCCTCCACCATCCCCCTCAGCGTGATTGTCATCCTCTCAGGTGAGCGCCTCTGTTCCTTTTTGTAAAAAAACATTAACATTCAAAATTTGAATAATTTTTTTCGCGGTTCAATCCAGCTGGCCCCGGCTGGCAGGGGCGGTGTGAATACTGAGCAGCGTGCCCACGGGTCTTGCCTGGATCTGGCAAGTCCAACAAGATGTAGGATATTGGCAAGTTTCAAATGCAGCTTGCCTGCAGACGCACCTTGCCGCTTGGCAGGAAAAGCGCATGATAGGAATAACTAAGATTTTCACCCAGCTAAGAAAGTGTTAGAAGGTATTGTGCTGAGGAGGGGTGTGCGCTGGCGCCTGGCCTTAAAATGATGGTCATTGGCAGGCCGATGTATAATTTCACCAAGTCTCAGTTTCACTACTGCTAGCTGCAGCATATTTGTTGACATTGCTAGAGGGAGACCAAAGCACAGAGCTGGGAGTTGCCTGACAGGACCGAAATGACAATTATGTGTCGTCCGCATAGAACTCAATCGCGCTGAGGTGCATGTTGTTGCTTGTTTCCATCACTACATTGTAAGATGTATCGTTCGCGGTTTCTATATCTTTAGGGTGAGAACCCTGAACCCTGATTATAAGGGATCTGCCTCGTAGGCTGGCTGGCGCGCATGCCGACTTCGTTGCTGAGCGTGAGTTGTGCAGGGCTGACTCTACGAGAGAAGGCCTTTGTCATGTTTGCATGGCTGCCCAAAGCCACGGTGCAGGCAGCGCTGGCATCAGCCCCCCTCGACAGAATTTTGGTGAGACCAGAACACTTCCTTGAACACTTCACATGATCTCAAGACACACGGATCCTCTCAAGAGTGTTCAGCGTCACTTCTGCGCGCCATTTGATCCATGTTGCTTTTCTTGCGCGTTGGGCACATCAGAATTAACTCTTAGCAGTGGCTAGTGTGCTGATGTAGCTGCGTTGACTGAACCAGTTGCTTCAGTCCAAAGGCCTTGTGCAATGTGAACATAAAAGACATGCAGTATTGCTTGGGCCCAGCATTGGAAGGCTATGCGCTTTGGGTGAAGCCCATGCTAGTATCGCCTTTGGATGTAAGTGCGTCAACATTTGCATCCGAAAGAGGCATGATGCACGGCAGCTGAAAGGAAAACTGCATAATGGTCTGACTGGAAACTTGACATGCACTTGCTCTCGCAGGATGAGAACAAGGGGCAGGAGTATGTCGACTGGGGCGACCAGATTCTTGTCACAGCGCTGTTCTCCATTATCATATGCGCTCCCCTGGGCGTCGTCCTTGTATCCCTTGCTGGGCCACACCTCCTGAAAAAGGTGAGCTTTGAGGGGATTTCCCAATTGATCTGAAGGGAAGGAAGTATACAAGTACCCACCGTACTCATTGCTTGTCAAATCCTTGAATGATGTAATCATCTGCAAAACATTTAAGTTTGTTGTTCACAAGGCTGTCATGTGTAACCTGCTGTTTGGAGTCTGCTATGGGGTGGGTGGGAATCTGCTGGTACAAAAGTGCACTGCCAGTCTTATTGCATTGCCCGTGTTGATGTCATGCCTTGAGTCAGTGCATGCAGTGATTACGCAAAGCCAGAGAGAGGATGTGCTTGCAAGGCAGATTAGTCGCTGTGGAAGCCATGTGCTGAGAGCAGAGCTGTGCTTTGCAGGACAAAGACACAGTGAAGACTGGTGACATTGAGGCCTCACGGTTGGGCCCAAAACCGCTGCCCATCGTTCCAAAGCCATCAGTGGAAATTTTTGAACGCACCAACTCGCTGCCAGCCATTCTGCCCTCGCTTCTGCATGATGTGGGCCTGCATCATGTGGCCCCACCTGCAGAGCCTGACACGTCTCCAGATAGAGGTGGGCCTACTTCCCAACTTTTCTCTGTGTTTCCAATAAAATCCTGATGCTAGTGGTCATGTCTGTGACTGGTCGAGAAGATACAAGAACCAAGAAGAGTGAAAAGGTGTTTCTTGACGTATGTGGTCCTTAGGCCTGGAAAACATGTAGCTATATCACTAATAAAGAGTGCATGCAATGCTCAGAGACACCTTATGCCAGTTCTGCTATTGAGCACCTTTGAACTGTGAGCAGAATGGGTGTTAAATGGTTTTGTGGCGATGCTGCCAATCTGCTCCCTCTACCTGGGGCTCAGCTTGTCAGGCAATTGATGAAGGCGCCAAAAGGAATGGCCTTCACAGCTCCACCTGCTTATATATAGCATTGCCCTTGAACTGCATGCAGGGGACTCTACATCAATTAATATAGAGCCGAAATCAGTTCATTTAAAGTCCCCTGCTGCATGATGAACCGGGGGTTTATATCTTCTGGGATTTGTCTCACAGGGGCTTCAACGCATGTGGAGCGCATAGTCACTCCTTTCGCCACAGTGTCAGACGCCGCTGAGGACGACAGATTCGAACATGGATCGCCACAGTATGCAGCATCTGCTAACAGGTATGCCTTCCTGGGTGCCAATGAAACCTTGAAGTCACAGTTGCACCATTCGGTCAGAACACTTTTTGGGGACCGTAAATACGGCCGAATATACGGTCATACGGTAATGAAATATACGGAATATGGTCAAAAACGGCCTATTTTGGCCCAAAACACCGAATATACGACCGAATATTCACCGTATGCCGAATGGCCGAATCCGTATGGTGCAACTATGCTTTGAAGTGCTCTGGGTTGCTCAGCTCTGCTTGGAAGGCAGCCTGCAAGCTAAAGGACGCACTGAGGGTCCCAACTAAGAGACTGTTAGAATCCGAGGTATGCGGATTTCCAAGGCGCTGCTCAATCCGGCGTTCTGCAAGATTTCAATTATTATTATTGTTATTATTTTATTATTATTATTATTACTATTATTACCTGCCTATCCAAGCCAGATTAGGCTTAGATTTCAATTGCTGTCCTGGAATCCAGGTGACTTTGGTGATGTTCTGTGAGACAATCTGCAGTCAAAGCCTGCCAAATTCCTGCCCCTTGTCGAACTCGCCCAAGCCCAGTCAGAGCTAAGCAAGCGTGGGCACGGTGCTGAATGGTTTTATAAATGCTCCCCGACTGGCGGGCCATAATGCTTCAACGCTCCAGCAAATTTCGGTGATGTGTCTGCGCAGTGAGGACGCCCTTGAGGAGGAGCTGCTTGCAGACCTGGACCATGACATCCACAGGTGAGTCATGTTCCTAGACAGCTTTAATATAACACCCACTTAAGCTCAGTGTTCATGGAGAATGGAATTGAAAATTACAACCCTGTGCAGCGCCCCTACAGGCATCCATTTGTGCCTTGCAAACTGCGAACGCTTCGTACGTTCTGTGAGCTTTGCATTGGTGCAGCATTGTGCATGCATGAGTCAGCTTCCTCATGATCGTCTCAAGTGTCCGCAGTGCGGTGTCAGACCCCTCTGCTGCAGGAGTGCAGGCCTAGTGATGCTGACAAGCTGTGCCAGATCTGGGCTCCAAGTTTTGAAAGTATGAGTGATTGTTTTCAGAATATCAGTCCTAAGGACGAAGGTACGTCAATGGCTCCAAAGAGAGGTCTGTGTGGCGCGTCAAACAGGAACCTGATGGCGATAGAGAGGGAGGCGTGGCTGCTGGAAGTGCAGCAGGTGGTGGGCGTGGCAGCTTCCAGGGCAGCTGCCCAGCGGCTGCATTCGGCGGTACGGGAACTACGGCACCAGAGCGTGAGCGGGAACGCCTCCGCGCTGATGCGCGTCGACGGCGCGCGCGGCTTCTTCCGGCGCAGCAGCCGGGGTGTATAGCATGCATCGCTTTTAGCTTTCAAATTTTTAGGGTTTGGGGTTTATAGTTGTGTATATAGGAATAGGCATCAGAGATTTAGCGGCAACGCCTCTGCGCTGATGCGTTGACGGCGGGCGCAGGAGCATAAGCAAGGGTGTATAGCAATCACCACTGTGTGGACAGGAGGTGTTTAATCGAGGGGTGTATACTAGCTGTTTCTATGCAAGTACATGCATCTCCTGCCGGAGGCAAGGTGAGTCCTGCAGGTAACGGCCTTCACAAACCCTGGAGGTGACGAATTGGTGGGTGTGCATACGTGTGCTAGCAAATGCAATTGAGTGCTTTCTTACAATTTGCAGTTGGGTTTTGGGCGTCAGCAAACAATCGCACTGAAGTAGCCACGATCGTGAGTAGCCAGGTTTAAACTTGTTAAACAAGTTTGTCAGTGACAGACTCAGCCAGAACGCCTTTGACTGCGCAACTGTCTGCTGCACTCAGCAATGCATGCAAGTGTGGTGCACCCTGGGCCGGTGCCGTGGTGCGCGCATTTGCAGTCTTCTGCAGAACTTGTGTACGTATAGTAGCTAGTTTCGAAGAATTACCATGACGCATACTGGAGTGAAACCAGCATGACTGTCTTACCTGCTCCTTGCAATTATATCGATCGGGAAGAAGACCACTGCTCTTGACTTTATATGATTCCACTCTCCTCACTCCAGAGATGTACCATTTACGGCCCTTGGCCTACACGTAGCTACGGATCAAGGTGACGATGGAAACTTCAGAGAGATGTGGAATAATGCAAATCATTGCATCGACTGGTGGGGTCTCTCTAGCGGCTTGCGAAAGATTTCTGGTGCTTGAAGGTTGCTGTCTGTAGGTTGTGGGCCCTTGCAAACGATCCTCGAAAATCTAATCTGTTCTTAAGTGGAGGTTGCTGTCCTGCTGGACACCAGTAAAATGATTGAAGTGATTTTGAACGATCGCTTGGGAAAGAAGGTCCGCGTCAAGTGCAAGTGAGTTTCCATCTTTACCAAATACAAAGGAAACTAGCACAGGATGTTTGCACTGCACAAACCTTGTAAAATTTTTCTGTTCTACGCATTGTAATGTTCAATATGCTGGAGTAGTGTGTAGTTGCAAGCTTGAACGGCCCACATCACATGTTGCCCCCTGCAGCGAGGACGATACCATTGGAGACCTGAAGAAGTTGGTGGCTGCACAAACCGGCACTCGCCCCGAGAAAATCCGCATCCAGAAGTGGTACAATATCTACAAGGTACCTCCGCCTGCCTCTCCCACACCTGTGGCCTGTGCACTGTGCCCATCACAGAGGTGCTTCTTGCAGATGGAGAAATTCTTGAGGGGTGCTCATAATCAGCTTCCTGTGGCTGCTTGAAAGGGTATTATGTGCGTCTAATGCTTGCAGGACCACATCACGCTGGCAGACTACGAGATCCACGACGGCATGGGCCTTGAGCTGTACTACAATTAGTTCCCACTTCACATGGTGACATAAGCAAGGACCGTCAAAGCCATGGAGCACTCGCAGCAGTGGCTCCAGCCGAATGAAGCCGCCCACACTCTTGCAACAGACACCAATGTTGCTCCCATGACCGCTGAGAGCAATGCCGGGCCCACGATGGCCGACCACACCCCTGCCGAATCAGTACAGCAGGCCGAGCCAGTTTACAGCACTCCTCAACAACCAGCAATTGCTGCAGCGCCTCCTGCACAGCCCACTGCGCTGTCAGACCGGCTGCAAGAAAAGACCATTGACCATTTAGCCGCTGCGAATGCTTCACACGAACAGTCATCCCCAAATAAGCCACCTCCGCACGAGGCGGTGCAGGCAGCACCTGCAGGCAATGCAGCAGCTGAAGCAAGTGGCGGTGACTCGCCAATGCCTGATCAGATTGCAGAGAGCAGCAATCCTGTAGAAGAGCAGCAGGAAACAGTGCAGCCGATGGAGATTGATCAAGCGGCACCAGAGAGCATACCAGTAGCGGCTGCCACAGGGGTGGCGGAGGGCAGGAGCGATGACCATGGCATGGCGCTAGCAGAAGGCAGGAGTGATCAGCACACAGCTGCAGGAGTGGGAGCTGCTTTGGTTGGAGCTCCTGAACAGCCTAAGGAGCAGCCGATGGGTGCACAGATGGATGCAGATGAGTCAGCAAAGGAGCAGGAAGCTGCAGGAAGCTTCCAGCAGGGCACAGCTGCACCTGCCGGTGGCAGTGGTGGGGCGCAGGCAGCAGGGGCACATGGAGAAGCGATGGGGGTTCCACAGAGTGTGGGCCAGGGGTCACAGGAATTAGGAGACTATCCTGGGGAGGCACACGGGGTGGCAGAGGAGGGGCTGGGAGGGAATGAGGGTGACAAGCGTGAAGATATATCCGAAGCCACCTTCGCCAGCCCTGCAGCAGCAGTGGCAACACCTCGGGTGGGCCTCTTTGATTATATGCCAAGGAATTATTTCCGTGCCTGTTGGTAGCTTAGCGTGGCAAGTTATGCAAATTGGCTCCCAGGTGGCAATTGACGGTGATCTCCACAGCAGCCACACATTTTCCGGACACGAAATTTTCTGTTCTTCATGGGAGTGTGGCTGCCGATGTGGATACCTTTCAATTGGTGCTTGGGGTGATTTCAGCCATTGGATGTCGCTGAGCCACCATGTTTTGGAAGGGCGCAATCTGAAATCGTCAAGCAATGCAGCTTTTACTCTCTGGTAGCTTCTCATATCTCTGAACATTATGCTAGTCGAGTGAGAGCTGGAGTCAGAGCAGATGTAGGTGACGCATCTGACTGAGCAGACTGGATGCTGACTGGACAGGGGGTCGCGTCGGGCGGCCGGCGCCACGCGGAGATAAAGCCGGAGACGGACGCGAACGCGGTCGTCTGGGCGAAGTCGCCGCGCTACCCTTGGTGGCCCGCGCAGGTGCGGGGTCAACCCTCCCAGAACCCTAGCTAGTCAAAGTGTATGTATCGAGCTGGTGGCCTAGAGCGGAAGATGGTGCACTCCTATCACAGAGTGCATTGCAAGAAACCCAATACGACACTCAAGCTACATGACAGCTGGCTCGTCATGCTTCAACAATAACCAGCCTGAGCAGTGTACCCAAAGCCTCGGCAAACACTCAGTCCTGCTGCGACTGTGGCAGCAGCGCATGCCTAGCAGATGATGGAGAATTATGCGTGGCCTTTTTGAGAAGCTGCAGCTCTCTTGACAAGGCCGTGTTTGGAAGGTGCTTGTCCAAGCTACTGCCTGGAGAGTCATAGCAGAGTGTTCAAGTGTGGCTCTCGCCCTCGTATTCTTCCTGAAATGTCCGGCTGCATGCATGCGTGCGCTGCAGCCCTTCCCTGCCGCTTGTCTGCAGGCACACCTTGCCTTCGGCAGGAATTTCAAAGCACTAAGAACTGTGCGGTTCGGCACAACCTCATTTGCATGCATTTCTGGCCCAGAAGAGAGTTAGGATTGCCAAATTCTTGACGGAATGCGGACACATGAGAGTGTTCGATGTAATAAGGGCAGTGACAGACTGCCCACAAGACCAATGAGCCTCAGGTGGCTCCCAGCAGGTCTCCAAAATGCAATAACAATACTAATATAATTGCTGCATGCATGCGCAGGTGCTATCGCTCGCAGACCCCTGGATCCCTGCTGACATGGACGCCCCCCGCCGCGGCGCCGTGCCGGTGCGATTCTTTGGAACGTACAATTTCGCGTGGATCGAATCGCAGCGCGCGCTCGGGCCCTGGGGCGACGGCACGGCCGACGAGCGCGCCACCAAGGGGAAAGTCAAGGTGCTCTTGGATTGTTTGTTTATTCTCTGTCTCTGAGGATCTCTCTGTCTGTCTTGGTTTGACTGTGCACTCAAGCTTCATGTTGTCTGCTTTGGGATGCCTCTGTCTCTGTATTTTGAGTTTGCAGCCGATGGAGGTGCCTTCGTTGCGAGTCTGCTTTAGGACATGGCATTTGGTCTGAGGGCTTCATGCAATCCTAGCTGGGTGTGTATCTTGTTATGTTTTCTTCAGATAGACAGTTTTGGGTGCCGTGAATCAGGAGTTGTATTCCATCCGCCACTGGGCGCTTGCTTCAAATGGTCGTGAGACTTGGCAGGTCATAGTTCCTGGGAGTGGGATGCCGAGACTGGCAACCTTGCATGCAGGCGTTTCAGACCGCGCTGGACGAGGCGGTGCACTTTTTGGGGACGGGGGAACTGCCCCAGGGGTTTGACAGGGCTCTGCTGGCGGAGGGAGGGGACGCCGCCGAAGACGCGGCCGACGGCTACAGCGGCAGCGGTGGCAAGCCCCGGCCAAAGCCGCGCGATGGCAAAGGCGTCGCCAAGAAGGACGGTGCGCGCCTGACTTTTTGTCTTTCTCTTTTTGCACTACAGTCGATAACAGGGATGCTCGAAAGATCAATCTCGCCAGGGTATAGGGCTGTCACCAGGAAGGACAATACGTGAAGAGCTCTCAGTTGCAATCCAGTCGCAAAAAAGGATGGTTTTCTCAAGAATATCTCGCTGGGGATAGGTTTTACAGCGGCCAGTCCCAAAGAAAGGGCAAGCAGAGCGCAGGCAACCTGGTGCCTCGTAAGGCTCTACGCACGACACAGTTTCAATTACTTCGTTTGTGTATGTTGTGCAATCTGCTGTCGCCTGACATGATGCCCAATTTCTGCAGGCAAGAGGGCGGATGTGAAGAGGCGAGAGACGGACAAGGCAGCGGCGGCCGCTCGCGCCAGCGCTCTGCGGAAGCTCAAGGTTTGTACCCATGTCACAACGCCAGAACCCCCACTTTTCTAACACCTTGCTACTGGTAATGGGGAGTGGCATATGCCGGCAGACGCCTGTGCCAAAGCTGGGTTGCAACTTCAAACGCACATCCCCAGCTTTTGCCTTGGGAGAACGTCGGCATGTGCTTTCTTTCCTCCCTTGTAAGTCGTCACATGTTTCATCATGAGACCAGGGGCACATGATGTGGCTTTTGCGCCCTTGTGCTTTCTTGGCTGCATGTCATGTCGGCGATGGCATTCTTCGGAGGAACAGGAGCTCCTGAACTGCCTCAGTATGTTCTCCACGATATACAGCTGTGACAAAGCCAGGCCTGGCCATGCATCCCTGCTTTTCCTACCAGGTGCATTCATGTTTGGCAGGTCCAGCTGGCAGCTTGGGGTCCAGGGGATTACATGTATTCGGTGGGTCCAGCTGGCATCTTAGGGTCCAGGGGATCACATGTATACAACAGAGTAGTCACAGAGTCATTCCCCCATGCGCACAGGCGATGCGGAAGCTGGGCCTGGCGGCCCCAAGGGGCTCTCCGTACGCGGGCGCGCCGTGCCTGGACGTGGCACGCGCATGGCTGGACATGCTGCAGCGCCAGCTGGCAGAGCAGGCACAGCGCGCAGAACAGCGCGCGGCGGCAGCTGCCACGCAGATGCGCGCGCACGAGCAGCAGGCTCTCCAGCATCAGCTGCTGCAGGTGCGATAGCGGGAAAGCCTTGTGATTATGCTACATGTGATTTATGCTACATGAGCATTCAAAATTGAGCTGAGAGTTGTTGTGTATGACTGGTTTGTGCAGCGCAAGCTCCAGGAGCAGGCGGCGCATAGGATGTACGTGGAGGCGCAGCTGCGGCAGCACCACCAGCAGCAGGAGCAGTTCCGCCGGCTGCAGGCGCAAGCGCGGCCGAGCGCCGCCACCGTGCAGACACACTCCCCGGCTGCCGCGGCTGGCCGGCCCGAGCCGCCGCGCTACCCGGTTGTGCGGCCGCAGCCGCTGTCGCCCGCGCAGCTCGCGCAGCTGCAGCAGTTCCCCCTGTCGGCTCTGCCGGTCCCCGGCGTGGCGGCCGCGGCGGGGCCGGGGCCGGCGGCTCTGCCGATGTCAGGTCAGGCTGTGCACATGGGCCACAACCCTGACTTTGTGCAGCAGCAGTTGCAGCAGAAGGCGGCCCTTGCGCAGCAGCAACGTAGCCTGGCGCGGCCGGCCGCGGCTGCGCCGGGACCGGGGCCGGAGGTGCATGTGGGCCACAACCCCAACTTTGTGGAGCAGCATTTGCAGCGTAAGGCGGCACTTGCACAGCAGCAAGGGAGCCTGGCGCTGCCGGCTGCGGCGGTGGGTGCCATGCGGCCGATGCAGACGCAGGCTCTGCAGCCAGGTCCTCAGTCGGCGCCTGCTGCGTACCCGCATGCTGGTGACCAGTAAGAATGGCGTGGTGGAGAGCGGGCAGGAATTGGGTCGAATTTGATTGGAGCACCATGATGGCTTACGAGGAATGTACATCAGGCAAGACAGATCTCTAGAGAAGTTTGGAAGTGTGAGCAGAATGTGGGGCCAACAACCTTGGCAAAAACAGCAGATGCATTGCTGCCACAGCCACCGGCCCCGGGGGCGTGAATGCACTAGTGAATGCACAGTACTGTTCGAAAGCATTGCTGCGTAGTGGACAATTATATAGCTATATAATTGTGGAAATGTTTATGTAATCACAGGAGTGGATAGTCTTGTAACACTCCTTCAATCCATCAAGTCCTATGATGGCTTCTAGGATGGATCAGAAAAAGAAATCGAGAGACGGGGACACCTGTTCCAAGGCTCATTAATGAAGGGTAAAGGTCCATTACCCTCCATTACTATGGGGGACACATAAAGAGTTGCAAACCCAAGTTTGGCAACGCGTCTCTTCGACGCTGCCATACATTGCTGATGTCAGACAGGTGCTCTCCAACATCTCTAGAGCTTCAGAGTGGATCCGCGGGGCACCGTGCATGGACAACCTTTTTAAAAAGAAGACCCGACAAAGACAAGGGTGGATAAGTACGGACTGTACGAAGAGACGTTGCCGTCAGAGCGCCAGGGGCTAGCGCCGTCAAGTAGTACGTGAGCAACAGGTGCATCTATCCTATGGTTTCGCTAGAGCTCGAGAATTATGAGTGCCAATATTTGAGACATCTTCGATTCTTACCTGTCGCTCCCTCGTGATGCGCTGTTGCACTGGTCGCCTGCCAAGCCGCTCTACTTTTACAGCAGCCAGCGTCTACTTATCTTGAGATCTTTTACTTAGCAATTGGAACCTTCTGATTGCGTTGGCGTGCATCCGTCCGACCACCGGACTCGCATATACCTTTCATCTTTATGTTTGAGCAGTACATTTCTAGGTGAATGTTCTGCGTAGGAATGCTCCAAGGATTGCGTACAAGCTAACATCATGTTTTGCACAGCTTACAGCCACTTCCAGGCTCGTACCGTATGCTCCAAGTGCCTATTCGTAAGGGCGTCATCGACCACGTTGGTGTGGTCTCAGGTATTCTGTGAGCAGCTATCATGGCATCGGCAGGGGGACAGACCACTGCATCATGTGGCGCGTCTCTCACATTGAGGTACAGACCCCCGGACGCCGTCCCACCTGAGCTGTGACAGAAAAAATCGTCCCTCTCCATCCACAAAGGCCGCGGCAGATCTTTGCCAGCCAGAGTACAGCCTCTGGGCAGGGAGCCCACGCATGTGTTGCAGCCAAGCTTGGGAGCTATTCAGCCAAGCAGGGACAGACTTTGAGGTTGATCACCAGAGCCGCATAGGCACACAGCAGGCCTCTTTGGCCGGGTGATGCCGATTTGCTGTCACTGCTTTTATTTGTCAGTTTGCCTGCGGCTGCAGTGGAGCCGCCCTATGCTATAAGCTCTGCCAGAGGCAGTTTGGCCGGTCACCATCTTGGCTGCATCATGACAGTCATTTGTAACAATGACTCATTATGTGTGAAGTCAAGCAGAAAGCTCGCAGTCTCGGTCACGCACAGTCTCGTGACGGATTCGTTGCCTGTTTTCCAGGTGGCAGGACATATTGTGGCCGCGCCATGGCGCGATAGCTTTCAGAGACATCCATGCAGAGGCGGATTTCAGGCATTACTGGGAGATTCTGTCGCACCCAGTCAGCGTGCTAGCGTCGCTGTTGCTAATGCTGCGCTACATGGTGCTAGCGCAGAACGGCCAAGAGACTTGCCAGATGCCTGCAGCCATCTGCACCCTCAGGTACACAGATCTACCAGAGGTTCACCAAAAAAGCCATTCCTTCTGCCGCACCAGTCCCAGCCAAGCGGGGCATGTTCTGTTGCTTGCAAAGTGCCCCTGTGAGGGCTTCAAGAGTAACTCTGACCCTTGAAAGCTTGAAGAAATGGCTGCTGTGGTACTTTTGCCGAGGCCTGCCAAAAGGCTGTCGTGGTTAACTCCTGCATGAGGACTAAATGGAAGTCTTTGCTGATTGGTGGGCCGCTTGTGCATCATGCTGCAGGTTTTTCAGGCCGGCCCACTTGAGACTGTTGGATTTGAATGAGCATGTCACCCTTAGCTCTCCAAAATGCACACAACACAGCCCTCTCAGCCTTTCTTTTCACCTGCACACAGGGCGGGAATATGCTTAGCGGCAGCAACCTTGCATGGTTACTACCAGTTCCTGTTCTGGCGGCCGGGGAGTAAACGCGTGCGATGTGCTCCTGAGCGCGCAAAGGCCATGGCGGCTGTCGGCGAGATCGTTGCCTGCCTGCTGACCGCCATGCTGGCGAAAGACTTTGGCGAGAGCCTCGGGGCCGACCCGGCTGTGGCTTATGCGTACACTGGCTGGGGCATCCTTCTACTGCAGGTAAGAGCCGATGCATTAATATAAGGTTGTATGAGTGAGGGTTGCCAAAGGGTCATAATTGATTAGTCCCCAAGTGGCTTATGCGTACACTAGATGGGGCATCCTCCTGCTGCAGGTGAGGCCTATAGTAGGATCTGTGATTTAAGGATACAGGCAGTTGAAGGGCAGGGAAAGAACCATTAGACCACACTGAGTATGCTCTGCCATGCTGTGCTTCCTTCTGCTGCAAGGGAGGCGCCTCCCTGACTGCCTGACAAGTAATTCAAGCTGACTTGCTGTCATATCGAGCATCATTCTGGCATGCGCTGTGTTGTGCTTGGATTCCGCGAGATTGAGCTTACACTTGACACTGGCCATGCATGCTACGTCACAGTGCTCCCTGTTGTGTGCAGAAGTTGCAGCGCTTAACAGCCGGTTGGTTCACCTTGCAAAGGAGCTCCTGTCCTGGCCTGAAGCCATAGACATGAACACTTCCCTGTGCATCTTTCCTGCAGGTTTCCATACTGAGCTGCTACCACCTGCACGCGCTGAGCCTGCTGAGCTACCTGCTGATGGAAGCAAATGCTGCGATCAACATGGGTCCCGGGCATGGCTTCAGGGGCGGCTTGCTGGGGTTGACACAGCGGTTCACGCTGTGCACGCTGGCGCCGTATGCTGCCAGCGTGGCGTGCGAGGCCTGTCTTCGGAGGGCGTTCCTGCGACGCTGCCAGGCTGTGCAGGTGTGCGTGTCTCATCATTTGGTAGCTCCATTTACCAGATGTTCAAATCATCGCCCTGTTGACACTGAAGTGAATCCCCGTGCAGCTATGCACTGGCGCGAGAGCAAGTGCAATGTGGCTCTCAATAATCCTGCAATGGTTTGCGATGAGTCCCAACACAGCTCCAGATATTCGCACAAGAGCAGGTGCTAGTGTGTGGTTTCTGTGCAAGGATGTTTAAGTGTGCATAAAATGAAGGAATGGGGGTTCACACATGACAAAGGGACTGTGAACGTGCGTGTTGCACGGGAATGAGAATTAGTATGAGAAGCATTGGTGGTTTCTGACGGTGGCCGTGCATGCATGCGACAGGCGGAGCAGCGGCCGGGATCATCAACTTCAACTCCCTGGGTTTCTTCGCGCGCGGCCCCCGGGGTCGCGCCCCTTGCAGAGAAGGCGTCGGAAGCTGCCCGCGGCGTCGTCACCCGTAGTCATGCGCGCCAGCTGGTGAAGCTGGCGTGCGGCTGCGTCGGAACCTGCACCTGCGCCGTCGTCGCCTAGGAAGCTTCCTCGGCAGCTTCTCGGCGCCGCAGCCACTCAAATTTAAAGTTCTTCTGAGCGGTCGTGCTGAGGTGGACGAGATGCAGCTCAGCACTGCTATCAAGCGCAAGATGCCCGAAATTTGTTGGGCTCAATGCAATTGTCACTCTTTTCGCTTTGCTGCCTCAATAGATTGGGCCAAAATATTTGTAGGCGTTTTTGCACTTTCAAATTAGCGCCAGCCTTTCACGCTACCAACGACCCCCAGTAGCAGGGAGCGTTGAGAGCAGCCAATCAGGCAAGAAGGAAAACTTTTCAAAGATGTTGACAGAACAAACGCAAAGTTTGGGAGACTTTCACTGAGCAACAGTATTTCAACTGTCAAGAGGGAAGGTGGGTCCGTTCTAAAACGCAAGTTTTCTTATCTGTTTTTTTGGGCTGGGGATATTGCTGCATGCTGCATTACTTGATGGGGGTTTGGGTCACTTTGTACAGATAGGAAGCTCTTCGGATGCAATCAAGCTTAGGCACACTTAGAAATGTTTTGCTTCTGCTTCTTTAAGAGCGATTTTGGCTAGGAAGTGCCTGCAATGAGGTCCCAGCTGTGGGGCAATATGGGTAACTTCTCAACAGTAAAAAGTAGGGAGGTTGTTGCATTATGATACCTGCTGTGGGAAGAAAGCAGGTGTGACTGCAGCAGTTGATGCACAAAACGTGTTCATAAATCTTACAAGACGTGACAAGCACACTTATGGGATTCTGGCGCAGTCTTGGATCTGTCCTCATTCGCAATGAGGGTTATGTCAATTTTCCAACTGTGCTTCTTGTGTTGCTGTTGGTAACGGCTTGTGAAGTGCAGCCGAAGCAAAACTTGCATGAACTTCCTTTTTAGTCATCATTGTGTATTTTAGCTTTTGTTGGGGAAGTGTGGTGGGGAGGGTTTGCTCTTGGGTGGTTGGCCGGGGGCCAATGTTGCATATTCAAATTTTAGCTTTTACTGTGTTGGTGTGCAGTGCGTTACTGGTTGTTCTGATGAGTCGTTATACGGGTGCACTGGGGAAAGGTTGTATTTTTTTCTTGGGTGCATGCATGGGCAAGAGCTATACGTATTGCAAGGCCATGGCGGCTGTGTGTGTACAAGAAGATTGCTCAGGCCATGTGGATTTTTCCACTGCTGGTCTGATGCACAAGCTTTAAACTGCTCTTGTTGCGGCAAATGTGCAAGGAAAAATGTGTGTTGCTTAGCATGCATGCACGTACACATGCATGGCATGTCATGTATGCGCTTCAGGGATCATAAGTCCCGTGTGGAGGGGGTGAAGTTGTTTCAGTATGAGATGGCTTAAGAAGGCCTAAAGATGGGCACGGCTGTGAATGGCAGCTTAGCAAGTCCGTCATGTATAAGTCAACTTGCTCGAATTTGTAGCTTATGCGATGCTCTGATCCTCACGGGTTGGAAACGCATGTAATAAAAAGCTACAATAATTATCTGGGGGGAGATGATGATAAGTATTAATACATGTGACTATATGTTGACGTCATCATGATCATGGAAGGTTACATGTGCAGTACAGTACAGTGGGTGGAAAGCTGTTTGAAAGGCGTGCATTCGTTGCACGTGCTTCAATACGATGCATGCATCATGCCACTGGTGTATACATCGTCGTAAACTAGCCTCTCAGCTGGAGTTTTCCCAAAACAAATCACCAGAGTACACTGCTGCTGAGACCAAGCGTCCAAAGCAGGCTCTCAGAGATTATGAGAAGACAAGACTTAAATATAAAGTACGTACATGCATATACGTATTCATGGGCTGGCCTGCAGGCTTCAGGAAACTTTTTGGTAACTTGAAGTCACCGCAGTCAGGCCTAGCGCAATTGTATATTTGAAGCACTAAACAATCAATATATAATCATATACAAAGGCAAGCCAAAACACTTTTAATATGCACTCTTCACTTTCTGTATTTGCACCGAAGGCAAGCAAGGATCATGGAACGTGTTCTCAACCCATGTGCACTCCACGTGTCTGCAATCTGCCTGACGTCAGCCCCGGAAGTTCTCAATGCCGGGGGCTCGTACACATTCTTCACTCGAATATTTCCATTGCCCGCATTCAGCATGTCGATTCCAGCATTCAACCAAGTGATGAACAATGCTGAAAGCCATCTCAAGCACCATCCTCGGATCAAGCCTGAAGTTCGATGTTCTCTCAACCTTGTTATATGGACACCTTTAACAGCCTTCATGCTCGCAAATCGAGGCACAGATCTGTAATATAGAGTACCAAAAGTAAAAGAGAGGATGGAGAAACACTGGACATGGATGAAAATGCTTGTTTTTCTGTCCGGAGCCTTTCTATCGTGCGCGGCAAATGGCTGCCAAGACGGGTCAGCAGGTGGAATAGAACTTGAAATCCATGAGAACTTATTATCGATTTTGAAACGAAAGCCATAGGATTTGCATATCACTGACGGGTGATATTGCTCCCTGACCCTTTGCTGTACTTGAAGGTGCCAGGAGGCTCAACGCCGCTGGCAGTGCGTCCGAGATAGACAAAGCTGCCAGAGAATTCTGCAAAAAATACTCTCTCTCAGATCGGACGCAGACTGTGAGGGTATATGACATCTTCATGTTCAACGATGAGCTGGACATGCTGGAGGTGAGCGCAGACGTTGCCCTCAGTGTGCTTCTTGTGCTGCATCTGCGCCAGCAACGAAGGCGTGCATCAGTGCTTGGTAATCTGGAGCAACAGGGACCCTGCACTGGCCAATCTGCTACTGTGTATCTCGACGTCAGACACATCTCATCATCTTTTTGTGCACAGACGCTCCTTAAGGACACGTCATGATGTTGCAGATACGTTTGACGACCCTGTACAAGGTGGTGGACTACTTTGTGCTGGTGGAGAGCCGAGTGAGCCACCAAGACAGGCCCAAGGCACTCAACTATGCAGACAACAAACGCCGCTTCGTAAAATTTGCCGACAAGATTGTCCATGTCGTGCTGGACAGCCTGATAGGACACAGTTCCTACTACAAGTGAGTCTGTGAACATGTCCCCTCCGCTGAACAACACTCAGCAGAAAGCAAAACACGCTCAAATTTGACTTAGAAATGCAGATCTGAGCTCTTCACTCTTCACTCTAGTTCAAACTCATTTTTGTAATAGTAACAGGTGACTCATCATGCATGTGCAGGGAGTGGTATCACAGGGAGATGCTGTTCGAGAAAGGGTTGGCGGTGAAAGGGAGTGAGGCGAGGGAAGGGGACTTAATAATCTCGGGGGATTTAGACGAAATACCCCGGCCGGCCGCTGTGCAGGCGCTGCGCAGCTGCGAATGGCAAGTGCAGCCGGGAGCTCATGACTGCGCGGTGCTGGAGGGGTCTTTCTTCTACTACAGCTTCTCCTGGTATGCAGGTGCGCTCTGGCAACAAGCAGCACATCCTGGGTGCCTGTATGTCAGGGGTTGTCCTGTTTGAGCATCGGCAGCTCCTCCTGGTATGCAGGTGGGGTGCAGAGAAAAGCCGCAGCTGCATCATGAAGCATGTCTTGCATCTCTTGTCATAATGAGCCCCACTTAGAGGTCATTCAAGGCCTTCCGGTCCCAGAGAAGTGACTGAAGATGACTAGAGTTGCCTAGCACAAGATCTGCAGGAGAATGGATTTGGACTGGGCCTCAGCGGGCTCCAGACTGTATCCATGCCTTGAATACAGAATGTGGGTGTTTCCAGGGTGCTTTGCCTGCTGCTTCAGATGAGCGCAGATTTCCCTGATCTGTAATGCACCCTTGGTCGCGCATGCATGCAGGGGAATGGAACCCCGGCCCGAAGGTTTTCCGCCACGACGTGATCACCACGATGGGGGGCATGAACAAAAACGACATGCGGTACAATTCCAACTGCACGCTGCAGATGAAGCGCGCGTCGTGGCACTGCACCGACTGCTTTTCGAGCATTCGCGCCGTCAAGAACAAGATCTCCGCATTCTGCCATGCGTGCGCCTCTGCCCTGCTGCTGGTTCAAATTCAAATTCGAATAAAAAATTGGCTTCTTTTACCAGTATGACTTGGATTGCAAATTCTGCATGCGTGCATCCGGAGCAGTGACCAGGGCATCCAGAGGAGTTTCTAGCAGTGCAAGGCAGATCAGCTCGCGCAGAAGAAGGATCATCCTATTTCTTCTGTGCAGCACGGGATTGTCACAGCAATGCTCATCAGGATTTCGAACGCATCAAAGTAACCTCTTCTGCCGGAATTTGCGCACACTCTCAAGCACCTACGTTGTGAGATTCCTGTTCTGGCTGTCAGGCTTTCGGAAGTGGTCTAGTGATACGACTCTATATACATGGCCTCGGCCATGGCAGGGGGCGGAGTAATTACTGAGCACCGTGCCCACGGTTAATTGGGTCTTGCTTGGATCTGGCGAGTCCAACAAAGGTTAGGATTGTGGCAACCTTCACATGTAGCCTGTCTGCAGGCGCGCCTTGCCTTTTGGCAGTGAAAGCCTGTATAATACTCAGATAATGCCAAACCTGAAATAAGGTTGCTTGTGCATGTGCAGGGAGAAGGATCAATTTCCCTACAACGAGACGGAGTGGATACTGGACCGAGTTGTGCGGGGACTGGCGCTCTTTGAGCCCAAGGAGGACAAGGCACGCCTGAAACGGGTGCCCTACTGCACCAACGCGCCTCCCGCCGTGCTGGCAAACCCGGGGAAGTGAGAAACCTACTCTTCACTTTAGAAAAGTGGCATTTTCGTTTACAGCAATGTTGGCAGAGCAGCGCGCACAAAACACAGATCATTGCAGGCTGTATCTCATGTGCAAGCCACACTTTTTGCAGTGTTGCTTTTCGACATGTTTTTCCCCAGCGCTGGGGAAAAACTGTACTGCAGACTGCAGTTATGAAGGAAGCAACTCCTGCAGCTTTGCATGCATGGATGTCTGGAGATGAAAGCCTGTCTCTCAGACATGACACGAGGGGAAATTTATGCGAGCGTTCTTGATTGCTTGTTCGGTCCTAGTCTGTCAAATGGCTGAAATGTGAAGTTCTTTAAGTGTGTTTAGAAGGCGCAAATAATAACATAATGCACTGAAAGTCATGCGGATGCGCGCACAGAGCACAACAGGCCTGCAAGCAATGATATTGATACCATGCTTGCGCTGATGGAAGCGCATGTGCATGCGCAGGTACCATTACATGCTGGCAAGGGATCCGGTGACCGGCAGCTTCTCTGACTACGCCGAGTGGCTGGGAAACCGGACAGATGTGGCTGGGAATTTTCACGCGCAGTGGATAGATCCAGTCACCCAGGAGCTTGAGACAGTCTAGAGAACTTGAGACAGCTTAAAGATCCCAAGAACAGGACCAAGCCACCAAGATTGAACGAATTCTTTGAGTGAGAGGTTGTGAGGTGGCGGGAAATGCAAAGTTTAAATGTGGTCCAGGCTCAGGGGCTCAGAGGACGAATATTTCGTTGTTGGTCAGTCATTGACAAGCATTGGACAGCCACTCAGCTTCCTGTGCAAAACGATTGTTCAGGAGTCGCTTTGTTATTTAAAATTGTACTGGTGCTTCTCATGATGACCAGTGACAGGCAGTTCATCCTCCTACTGATGCTCATGTTATTTGAGGCCCAGAGACAACGCGATCTGTTCCTTGCAGCTTACTTGCAAGCTCGGAACGCCTGTTACATAAGCGACAGCGAAAATCTCTCAGACGCTGAGTCACTGACGTCGGAATCCTTGTAGCTTTATACTTCTGAAGCTTCAAAACCCAGTTTTGGATCTGGGCAAGAAGATCCAAACCCATAATTGAAACCCAAAAAAATGGAGTGTATTGTGTAATGGGAGATGGGAGATGATACGGATGACCACCTTCTGAGACAGCAGCCGTCGGGTGTAGAAACAGATGTTGGCACACCGATTACCCAAGGCCCATACAGCCCTGCTCGGGTCAGGGAAGCCACCAGGGCACTGCAGGTCCGCTTTGTAACTCTTTTATCTGCCATCGAAGATGGGGCTGGGTCTGCGCGGTATCATGACTTGATTTGCATTCTTAATTGCTCATCATCACACTATATACATAGCTGCAACTGCCCCTGCTTCTTCAGCAGCGACCTGTCCCTGATCGCAATATGCCTTAAATAGGAGGAAAAAAGAGCTCAGCTTCGTGAAGTGGGCCGGAGGAAGTTCGAGGAGTTCCGCGCAAGGCGACAGAGCAGAGCATCCCTCCCACCAACTCCCACATCAGGTAGTTTATCTTGTGTGATAGACCTGTCCACCACGTCCTGATCCACTTCTCTTAAGTTAGTCGATGTCTACCTTCAGGCGTACCTGACATCTCAAGAACATCAGACACTTGAGGTTGCTGTGTGCATGCAGATGGGAAGCCCACTCTGGCACAGCTAGTCTTCAAGGACCAGCCAGCTGGCAGCACAGTCGGTGAGGCGCAGCCTGAGTCTGGTCCCCTGGTGGACATGCTGCTCCAACAAGTCAATGAACTCATGCAGGTGCTGAATTCTTCATCCTTGGTGCATTTGCACTCAGGGACAGACCTGGATGCTGCCACATTGCATCTTTTCGCAGCATCTCACCGGTCTTCGCAGAGAAAGAGAAATGCAGACACCAAAGCAGGCATGGAATAGAAGAGAGGGCTCCTCGCAGTGCAATTAAATTGCGCACAACATACAAGACAGCTCCGGCCCATGAGCACGATTGGTCACATTAAATGCATGCAGTCAAATGTGGCCAGGTGAGGGTGGGGGGACACCTTGTGTCACTAAAGAGGAGAGCAAGCTGGACAAACTCCAGAGCGGGACCTTCTTGCACTGATGAATGGATCTTGAGAGTGTTGGATGGTCCTAGAGAAGATTCCTTGAGGGCAGAATGGCATGGTTGTGGCAGGAAAAACGGGCGCTGACTCGCGCGAACGAGCAGCTGCAGAGGGAGAACCAACAGCTGCAGGAGCTGGTGGGCTACCTGTCCTACGAGGACACCAACAATGATAGCGAGCGAGTGTGAGGCGCAATTGAGGGCGGCTGCACTCTTTTAACATGTTTCATAGAAGCAGCTTATCTGGATGCCAGGTTCATAAGCACCAGACATATGTTCCATGGCGACTGCTGGATACTGCAGGCTGTCACAGTGTTGACCTGGTGAAGAAACACATCCTAGCGTGCAAACATAAGGACGGTTGAGATTGGCGAGTCACTCATTGTATACTGGATTTGGACCTCATGAGTAGATGGCAAGACCCATGCAAATTGTAAAGGTCACCGCATGATTTGTATTAGCTAGTCGCAACATGATGCGTTCCGGTTCCCGTAGATGCATCGGCCGGCCGTCACGGCGCAGCCGGCCGCGACCGCCCCGCCGGCCATGGCCCGCGGCCGCGCCCAAATTGCTAAATTTATTATTATTACTATTATTACACGCTTTTCCTGCCAAGAGGCAAGGTGCGTCCTGCAGACAAGCTGCAGTTGAAGGCTGCCATAATCCTACCCCTTGTTGGACTTGCCAGATCCAAGCAAGACCCAATCAACCGTGGGCACGATGCTCAGTATTTATATAGCCCTCCGCCAGCCGGGGCCAGTTGCTAAAATATGTACAAGTAATTTGCAAACCTTCACGCAGCACATGGGCTGTTCACACAGTCCACTTGTGGACGCAGCTATGGCCTGATTGATCTTGGTCGCGACAACAAAAGACTGACATACCCTCTGCATGCACAACCAACTGGGGACCAAAAATGTACACAGGCAAGTGGACGAATGTACAATTGCAGTCCACTCAGGCTCCCTGAAAGTTCTCATAAACACATGCTTATTGCGCAATAAGGACTGAGCCAACATAAGTTCTTAGCTGCTCAGGCTTTGTACTCCTTCTCTTCTCTTTTGGCAAGGTGCACTCACAATGGCAAGATTGCATGCCTCTGCGCAAGAATGCTTTGGTGCATACCGAGAGCACAGAGACACACTTCCTGATCATCACTGAGCCCTGCCAAGCATTTTTGCTTGCCATTCACATAAGAGCAGTATTTATTTACACGCTTCTCCTGCTAGGGCAAGATATGTCTGCAGACAGGCTGCATGTAAAGGCTGCCACAATCCTACCCCTTGACTGATTCGCCAGATCCATGCAAGGCCCAATCAACCGAGGGCATGGTGCTCACCATTCATACCGTCCCCCGCCAGCCGGGGCAATGGGCAGTGAAAGTGTAGTAATAGTGTAGTAATGGTGTTGTCAATTCAGGTCTCCAGTAGAATATCAGCTTCTCTGTCCAGATGCTGTGTTATGAGAGCAGTGATGAGCGCAGAGCGGCCGTGCAGCTTCAGCCCCTTGCTGAGCGCCTTTTTTGCCCACGCCACCTCTTTCTGTACGCTCTTCTCATCCCCCAGCAGCAGCCACTGCAAGCACAGTTGAGAGGCTGCGTCAATGAAGCATATGGCTCAGCTTGCTCCTTGAATCAGATTGATGTAGTATGGATAACTCATTCATAAAGAATACCAGCCCACAAGCAAAGTAGGCACGACAAAGACTGCCCAGTTGCTGTGCACATGCAACAAAGAGAGATTGAGATTGTAGACACAATGAGATTCTCGGCTCTCAAGCAGCCACCAAGATTTAGCAAGGCAGCGTTGTTCTGCTCAAACTGCCAACCTATCTAAAGAGGCGGGAAGTTGATCTTTACTCTGAGGTTATGATGCTGGGATCCCCGATACCGAGCCACGCTTGTCTCTTGCAACCCTAATAATGCTACAGATATAACATTCTCTGGATGCCAAGATCTAAAGTTATCGATACTGCAGCAACAGGTGCATGACGCACCTGTGCAGCGTCGGCTTCCGGCAGCTTCTTGGGCACGGTCTTGGCGATGTTCCCTCCCGCTCTCTGCACCAGCATGCGCAGCCCCTCGCCCTTGTCCACCTCGGCCGCCAGCAACCCTGCAAACTCGATTTTTAAAAAACTTGGGGTTCATTTTGAATATTACCCAGCGAAGCACATTAAGCACAGACGATTCAACCCATGGCCCGGCTGGCGGGGGGCGGTACAAATACTGAGCACCGTGCCCACGGTTGATTGGGTCTTGCTTGGATCTGGCGAGTCCAACAAGTGGTAGGTTTGTGGCAGCCTTTAGCTGCACCTTGTCTGCAGGACGCACCTTGCCTCTTGGCAGGAATAGCGTGTAATAATAATAATAATAACTCATCTCAAAATACCCATTTGAGGCACTAAACACCCACAATAGAGAATCCCATAAATAAGTGGCATGTCTGACAATCAGTCTCAACACATGATCACAGATTAGCCCCGATTATCCCGAGGAGGCTTAGCATCAAGCATCATCTGAGGAAAAACCCAAACACAAGTTAAAAAAAGTATGTCCTGTTTTGGCGAGGTTATGTGAGGTGTCAGAAGTTAGAAAGAAATAGCTGACCTGGCGTCAGGAACACATGCACCCCATGGAGCAGCAGTGACTGCTGCGCAGCTTCCCAGGCAGCTGCCAGGCTGAACCCAAACTTCTTCTCGGCTGCCGGATCCTTTAGCAGAAACTCTCTCGCGCTCACAAACGCGTCGCTGCGCGCGCATGCATCCACCCACTTCTCCGACACGATCGGCGACCCTGTTTTGTGTGACACATCATTAGTCAACAGCTGGGAAACGCTCTGCCACAGTGAAGCCACTGCAGGTGCGCTGCAAAGTTGCTTATGGCCTTTTTAAGCAAGGAAGTGAATAAGACTGATAGTCCTTGAGCTCCGCGCCTCTTCGCAGTGGGGTTTTTTCTCCTTTTCATGCATTCAGAATGCACCATTGCGTTTCATTAGAACGGTGCGTTAGGCTTGCCTGTTTAGCAGAAAAGCATGGCACAAGCCTAGAGAATTGCAGGAAGTAGTCCCAGTGCTGCAAGATAAAACTACATAGGATGAGTCACCTGAGGCGAGCGCAGAGAGGGCGTTGAGGGATTTGGTGAAACCCCGATCTTTATTTCCCCTGGCGGCGTCAAGGGTGACAAAGACGCTGAAGTCGGCGGGCGATGATGTCACGGTCCCCCCCAGCCGCTCCACCGTCCTCGTTATAGCCTGCCGCAGCTTGGCGTCCACGCAGGTCGATATCAGCACGCTCGGCGGCCTGAACAGGCAAGCACACCATGCACATCAAAAGTCCATGATGAGGCCGATCGAACTTCCCACATGCACGTATTTCCCTGAGAGAATTGGTGTCGTTCCAGAAGACTTAGGAGCTGAAGCAAAACACGACAGTATCTGCACTGCTGTGGGCGTCAGAGCGGATAATTTGAGTTGAAATGTCCGCAGCCGGCCCTTGCAAAGTAACTCAGATGAATAATTGTTACAGGATGTCTTGGTATGAGATGTTGTGGTGAGGTTGCAAGAAGGGTTCACTTTGCATCAGCTCCGCGCAGCTGCATTGATGGCCCAGCTTCCGTCGCCTGGGAAGCCGCCGCCGGCTTCCGGCCGCAATTAGACGCCTGCCCATCCCCCGCCTGACTCTCGGGCTCGGCTGCAGATTTCCTCTTCTGGCCACGCTTCGTTGTTTGCTCCGGCTCTGCTACTTCTGCCGGAGGAGCCTCCTCTGCTGCTTCCTCTGCCGTGGCAGTACTCTTCCGACCCCGCTTCACCGCAGCTTGCTTCTTACCCTTTCCCTTCTCAGTTTCCTTAGCTTCCTCCGCAGCTGGGGTCTGGGAGGCGGCAGCCGCTCGGCTCCGTTTTGCCGGGGGCGGCAGCTTCGCCGCAGCTTCCTTTGCAGGGCTCTCCGCAGCGGCGGCGGCCGCCGCTCCTCGGCCTTGCCGCGCGGCCGTCCCGGCAGCCGCCGCCGGCTCCGCTGCCTGCGCGGCTGCGACCGTCTCCAGAGCCGCTCCCGCAATTGTCCTTCCACCGCGCTTGGCAACTGTCGACGCGGCTACCGGCTCCTCGGCAGCCGCCGCGTCGGCCGGGGACGCTGCCTTGGTTTTGCCCGCGGCTGCGCCAGCTAACAACTTTTTCCTGCCGCTGCGCTTTGCTGTGGGCGGTGCAGTAGCAACGGCGTCTGTGGCAGCTGCAGACGCTGCTTCTGCATCCTCCTTTGCAGCAACTGCTGCCGGCGCGCGGCTCTTGCGTGTCGCTGCACCTGTCTTCGGGCCCGCCTCCTCCTCAGCTTCCACTGGCGCCTCCTGAGCCTGGGATCCCTTCACAGCCGCTGCAGACTTCCTGCCGCGCTTTGCTAGCGGCGCCGCTGCTGCCACGTCAGCCTCCACATCATCTGTGATGTCAGCGCCGGCCTCGATTGCCTGTTCTGGCTTTATGCTCGCCCCGCGCTTCCGGCCGCGGCCCGGCTTTGCGTCAGCCGCCGCCTTGGCATCTCCAGCCGTATCCTGGGACTCCGCCTGCTTTCTGCGCCGCTTTGCCGGTGCCCCAGCTTCCTCAGTCTCCACTGCCTTTTCTTGCTCCTTCGCTGCTGCGGTTTCTGTAGCAGGCCCCTCGGAGGCCCCCCCGTTCTTCCCTGGGCCGGGGGGTCCACGCCGTCCCCCACCAGCACCTGCAAGTGCACAACCAACGCCTGATATCTTAAATTTCCATAGGCCAATTCACATGGTAGAACTGTCCCACCATGTACAGACACACAAGTACTTCAATATTAACACGGTACGATGGTCAGGCGCACGTTTTGCCCCAGCTGGCGCCGCGGCGGCCCCCTCCCTGGGTGGCTTCTCGGCCGCGCCGGCTCTGCCGCGCTTGGCCGCCCCGGCCGTGGCCGGGGCCGGTACCGAGGCGTTCCCTTTTCCGCGCGTCCCACCGGCCGGGAAGGCCGCGGCGTCCTCGGGCACCGGGGAGACGCGGGGCTCTTGGCCGTGAGCCGTGCGCACCTGCCACGAATGAGGCACATTTTCAATTCTTTCACGTCACGTCCAGATTGCTATCTGATTGGGCAAGCACCACAATCTTTTGATTTGGGTCCATACAAATTGTGTTGGCCACGGCAGGAATGCAAGGCGCGCCGGCACAGCTTCTGACGGAGGCAGTAAG